ATAGATAGATAGATAGATAGATAGATAGATAGATAGATAGATAGATAGATAGACAGACAGACAGACAGACAGACACTTGGAAATCCTTGATTACAGATTACTACTACTCATTTGTGTCTTTTGAACTGAGATCAAGAATAAAATACTACTTTATTTTAAGAGGTGGATTACATTTACTTAGAAATAGTGCAACTGGGACTACTATGCAATTGTGTATATCATAGGCCAATACCCAAAAGGTTGAAATTCTGAACACAGAATTTAAATGAAAGAAATTCCTTTGAACAGTGTTGATATGTAAAGTATGGCCCCGAGGGATTGCCATTCTATTGTGCATTTGTTTAAAAATTAACTGCATGTTTTTAATAGCCCTTGGTTTATATGTAAATAGCGACTAATTACAAGGCTCCTGGGCTTAAACCTAATACTTTGCTATTACCCCGAAGCTATAAAATGTGACAATATAGCTTTTATAGTATGGAATATAGTTTTCCCTGTGAAATTAAATGTTAAGAAAGGAAGTTTGTAGTGCTCGAAGACATTTTTTAAAAGCTTAAATTGTTCATTGCATTCTTAGTTAAAAACTGATAGCACATTTATCATTACTGAACTTTAAAAAAGAATGTAGTGTTTATTGAGTTGAACATTCCTATAGCAAATAAGCAAAAAAAGATTATGAAACAGACAAACATTATATGTAATACCCATATTGTCAACCTAAAGTTTCCAACTCCAGTTGAAACCAATCCAGGATATTTATCTTCAACGCAAGGTATGTTTGTGCGTGTGAGAGAGAGATTAATATGTGACTATATTAGACAAATATCTAGACAAACACTTAGATGGTAGCCAAGTAACTCAACTCCTGTTGAGTTAGCCATTGGGATGAAAGAGGGGGAAAAGAGGAACACTTCTTAGGTGTTATAAAAGGATTAAACTCACCTATTCCTACAGCCACCTTAATTTATGCCCATTGCTCATTCCATTTCCCCCCCCCCCCAACAGATTCTTCTTTTCTTCTCAATGAATCTCAGGTAATTATTTGGGGGCAAAAGCTTTCCTATTGCAAATAAACTGTTTGAGTTTAATCCCAGACAGAAATAGCTTTTCAAATTTCTTGACCTTTCTGGAATCTAAAAATGCTTTGCTTTATAAGATTTATCATACTGTGAGAAAAAAAACGTAAGTAATATACAATTGAGTAATTAAATCACACTCACTGTAAACAATAGTGTATACACAAGAGACACTTCAATAAATGGAAATTTCTTGGGATAAATTAAAATGTAACACTTAAAATTGTATTTAGGAATATCAGGGATCAAGATCATAGTTTATATAAACTTTGAATGTGTGCCGTATGTGAGTTAATTATGTGTTTGCTTTTGATGTTTAGGGTCCTTGCAAGTGATGAATAAAACCAGGAAGATAATGGAGAATGGAGGTGCCAGTTTTGTTAATGCATTTGTAACCACTCCGATGTGCTGTCCATCTCGGTCCTCGATGTTGACAGGAAAATATGTTCACAATCACAATGTTTATACTAACAATGAGAATTGCTCTTCTCCGTCCTGGCAAGCAACACATGAGCCACGCACCTTTGCTGTGTATCTCAACAATACTGGATATAGAACTGGTAAGGGATTACTTTTCACACTCCTTTTTCAATTGATTTTTAAAAGTTGCTTGTTTTCAATCTGTTAATGCTGTTAATAACAGAATTATTTCTGGAACATTGATGCAGAAATTTTGCAAAGCTTAATGGTACTGTGATTGTTAATTTGTGGGTTAGAAATCAGCAGAAAGCTGTATAAAAGAGCAGATACTAACTTCTTAAAGTTTAGTAGCTCTGATAAGATAGAGGGAAGTTGTAGCACCAAAGTTTAGAGCAGGGGTGTCAAATTGGCAGCCCATGGGCCTGATGTGTGACACGCAGGTCACACCCACTCCAACTCTGTGAATGGGAAAAACATCGCAAAACATCACATGACAGCAACATGACGTGGTGAGTTTGACACCTGTGGTTTAGAGAGTCAACATGGACCCATATTAATTTGAAGACCTTCAAATAAAAATACTGGGATTTTTTTCTCAATAAGGATCCTGTCTTTTAATCCTTATATTCCAGATCATGGAACCAATTATCTGTCCTTTGCATGTCCTAAAATTGAAATTGAAACAAATAGAATATTTTTTGAAAATGCAAACTGCAGATAGATACCAGGCCCTAATCTTGTTATGAAGGAAGCGGAGAAGTGAATATAATGGACTGTCAGCATTTATCTGAAGTTGTCAGCCAAATGAGGCTGTTCCTGGCACATGTAGGGTGCTGACTTTGATATTAAAAAGAGTTGGATCCTGATTTTGGTTGAATATTAAGCCCTAAAACAAGATGGCAGTTAAAAACAGCTGAGCAGTAGAGATCAGTGTCACCCTGAAAGAGGAAAGGATGTCAACTTAATTAAGGTTGCTCACTCTTCCTATAGAAAACATTCTCCAAGGCTGCCTCCTTTGTTGGAAGCAACTCCTGCTTTCCTAATCTGAATTTATTTGGCTTCAAGTTCCTAGTTCCTCCTAGTGTTTTGCCCCGTGGATATCCAGTTTTCAGTTGTGAAGGAATGTGGCTTTGACTCAAAGACAGAGGAGGAGATTTCTGAGCTGTTACAGAAAAGATATCCAAGTCTTGGGAGAATAGAAAGTGTAGAAATAAATTCAAAACAACTGTGCCTTGACTGTATGAGATACAAGCTGAAGTAAAAAGGGGCTTTGGCATCCTTTCAAGATCTGTTTCAATACCTTAACTGCATTAAAGTACATTTATTGTGACTTTTATTTCCTGACCTCGATGGGCTGACATCAGCTCTTGGACTCCACTGGCTCTGGACTTCTGTCTAAATAATTCAGGTTTTATCTCCCCTAGTTACTTCCACAGAGTGACATATGCTTTGCTCTAGTCCATAGGCAAGGTTCCTCCAATGAGCGTCCCATTGTGTGTAAGGCTCAGGTTGATTTACAACCATCAGCTTGTGTGTTATCTCTGTTTATGCATTGAACTGATTTACGGCTTAAGTAATTGAAGTACTTAAAACCTACATGCTAATTTACTCCCACCTGCTCTGAGCTCTACCTTGAACAGGAGAGTTTGTTGTCAGTTCTTAAAGGCCCCCTTCCTTTCGGCCTTCTCTGCTGAAATAGAGTATGTTCAGTTGAGAGGCCAGCTGTTCCAGCTAATTGCTCCGATTGATGCTTTGCCATAGGAACTGAACCTATTGCCGGCTTCAATCCCTCCATGATACAAATGTTCAGTAGCCATACTTGAAAAGCTTGAGGGTTCTCACAACTAGTTTCCAACATTTGCAACACCCTGAAGGTTATGTAACAAAGTAGACAGAAAGTAATAGGAACAGTGGCCAAATATGCAATTCTATTGCATTACACTTGAACACCCCATTAAATCTGCCAATCACCAGATCAGAAAGCTGCAACAGGGGTGCCACTCAGTGGCAGAATCTTTAAATAACTTCCTGCTTTTGACAAGACTTGGAGCAGAATGAATGGATCCATTCCATAAAGATCTGGAAGCCAAATTCTTGATGATTAGACCTGCATTAAGCAGCCATCCATTAAGCAGCCACAGAGGTCTCAAACCTAAAGCTCATGGGCCATGTGCAGCCCTTAGTGGTTACCACTCAGGAGCTGCTGTCTTAGCTTCCCTCCTGTACATATTTGGCCATGTCGAGCAGCAACTTCTCAGTAGGGTGACTGTACATTTCTAATTTACAATTTGTCCTAGATTTTCAAGTCTTAGGCAATATGTACCCCACTCTCTTCTTCCTTTCAGAATAAGCTTCTCTCCCATAGTGCCAGCTTGTGCAGTACTAAATGCATTTAGTGCACAAAGTGGCTTCCATGACACTGTAGGGGAAAAGCCAATTCTGCAGAAACTGGTGCTACCAGGGCAGAAGGAAAACAAGAGAGGAGAAAGTAGTGCTTTGGGGAGAAAGTGGGAACTGTCCAGGAGCCTCACAAGGGAAGTAATAGCAAAAAAAAGTGCCAGTTTATGTGCCTCTCTTCATCTGAGCCAGTTCTTCATCTGAGTTTCATGGGAAACTCAGAGCTAGACACAATGGCAGAGAAGGTCCACTCCATGTATCCATCAAATGACATTGTTTTATAAAAAAGACCTGGAGCTTATCAACTCTGTCTGACCACACAAGAGAAACTATGGGGAACAGACAGATCCTCAAATACAGTACTTGGCCTTATGCCATGTAGGGATTTAGAGGTGATAATCAGCACTTTGAACTAGAAGAAAACTGTTAACCAGTGCAACTCGCAAAGCATACTGAGGCAGGTCCATCATTGCTCTACTGCAACATTCTGGACCAGCTGAAAGTTCTAAACAGTCTGCAAGGCAGTCTTATTTATAGTCCATTTCTGCAAAAATCTGCACGTGAAGTGACCAAGATCTGAATAAGGAGGGTCTCCTGGTTCAGGAAAAAATGCACCTGTCAGACTAGATCAGTGCAGAGACTATCCTAAACCATAGCTTCCACCTGTCCTTTGAGTAACAACTAAGACTGCAGAAGAATCCAAATTGCATGCTTAGACCCAAATGAAAAACTGCAACCTCATTCAGAACTAAAGGGAAAAAGTTTCCAGACCCAAATGACTCCAACATCCATCAGTAGGATTCCATCCAGGATCCCAACAGCTTTTAGGCCACTGGAATAAGGCCTTGTCAGAATCACTTGCTTAGCCAGTGGTGAGCTCTATCAGACTCCAAAGAGAAGGAGGCAGTAGTGGACAATACCAGGATATTCCTTGTGCTTCCTTCAGGGAATGTGAAATTGGCAGAACCATTTTCTGCCATACAAATACTTCCCCCATAGACATAAAACACATGGCAGACCACTCTCACTTTGGCAGAAGGATACCATGCTATGCATAAGTATCTAGAATAGCCTTTGATGGAAAACATCCTTTTGTACTGTGTATAACTATTTTAAAAATACATAGTCGCTTTCAGGTTCTGCATTATACTGTCTGTCTTTAATCATCTAAGGCATGATGTTTTGTGGGATTTCATGGAACAATTTGATACTATTTATTTGGATGACGTTCTAATTTATTTTCTATCCCTTGAGATATACACATGCCATGTTGAGGCAGTTTACAGTGGGTTCAGGAGCATTATCTATAAATCAAATTTAAAAACTTAAATTCAAATAGCCACTATTGACTTTCTATGCCATCACATTTCACTAGAAAGACTTCAGATGGATCTAATAAAGATCGAAACCTTTCTGGCTTGGCAACTCCTCAGGGATTAAAATTGTTCAAAGGCATTCTCTTACAAACATCATAAATTTTGAGAACTTTGCGTGAATTACCTCTACTCAGTCCTGGAGAATAGTATTACATTATTTGGGATGGAGAGTTTTTGCATATTAAGATGGCCTTTGGAACCTGTAAGGGCTCAACATTCTGTGGAGGTAAGGACAAGCCACTATGGCTTGGAATGCCTCCAGACAGCTTGTAGGCTAAACCAAAGGCAGTACTGGGGATTACTGTTCTTTTTTCTCATCCAACTTCAAAGTAACTTCCATCTCAACAAAAGGATGGATGTCTTGTTTCAGAAGTCCAAATATTTGTTCATTGGTTTAGGCCCACCATAGTCAAGAAATTTTCAGCAGGTTACAATTATTACAATAAAGTATCCACATACAGTTCCAGTTATATAGCAATAAGCAGTTACCCAGTTTAAACTGCAGATAAAATTGCAAAGCAACCAACTAAAAAGCAGTTAAAATACATAGCACATGTATAAATCAAAGGTTCTCTTAAAACAGTTCTGAATTTTCTGAATCCTAGAAGGCAGAGATTAATGTTATTTGAGGGGGGGTTAATAACATTGGCACTGCCGTGGGCAATGTTGAAAACCTCCATCTTCTAAACATATTTGTTACCATCTTTGTCTATGCTCCCACTTAAGAAATTTGCACCTATGAAACACCCCTTGCTTTTGGATGAAGCAAATCAAAGCTGCAGAGCAATCCTTATACTTAAGAATCGCACCAGCAGATTTAGAATGCATCTAGTGCCCATCCTATGTGGTCAGTAGGATCAAAGAATCCTGTTTTACAAATATCGCTGTAATCAGAAGAAGGCTTACCACACACACACACACACACACACACACACACACACACACACACACACCCTTCAATACATTACAGGTTCTTCAGAACCTTCAATCTTTTGAATTTTTGGTGGCCATGCATTGATCTAAGATTCATACTACCATTCCACCAAGCAACCAGAGAAGTCTGCAAATCTATTGTTACCTTGATGCATTTTTTTTCTATCAGCATTATCAGGTTTCTGACTACAATTCCCCTTAGTCCTCTCCATCAATTATCAGCATATTCTTACCTATCCTTGATAGTTTACTATGTTAATTTCAATACTGGAGACTTTTACTTTCACACATGCATGTCTTTTGCTGTTCAGATTTTCAGAAGGTACTTCACTGGACAAGGCATATCCAGAAACACATTTTTCTTAGTTAATTCACCAATGCCTGAATTTTAGCAAGCCTTGGTTTGAACATATTGTATTACATTTTTAAGAGAGACTTAAAAATATTTGTAGTATTGTCATTAAAATGGTGTTAGTCAATAGGGTGCCTTCTAGCATCATCTTTCACCAGGGTAATACACATTGAAGTCTCAGGTATCAGGTAAGGACAAGGTTGGGGACAGACGGATAGAATTTAAAGGAAATTGGTCACATCCTCAGATTCAGAGGATATGTCTACAAAAAAACTGGAATGATTGGGGGAGACTATTGACTACTTGAATCATAGCATGAAAACAACTGTGACATGTTAGCATCCTAAGGGAGAAAGAGAATGAAAATGGTGCAAAGTTTAAAATTAGTTGCAATTAAGGGACTAATGTGGAGGATTTTGTTCACCATTTCCTCTGTGTACTGACTGTTTTTCTATCTCATTCGAATTTACAAATTAAAATTCTTCCTGTGGGCACCATTAGTTACAGTAATGAAAAGATGGGCAGTGATATTGCTTTTTAATGAGACTTTTATTAATTCAGTGGTATTTGTATGCTTATTAATTATACATAAATAAATAAATTCCTAATTTTCTTTGCCTCTGTTTTTAAATATATTCATTGGCCAGGGGCATTTTGAGTAGGGCGAAGATGTAAGCAGCCAGCTGGAGAGCTTTTCTTGGTTTTGTATGGGGATTATGAGGATTAAAAGTCAACACATCTGTAGAGTATTTAACTGAGGAAAAGCTGGTTTATATTATAAATCACAGATTAATTGATATTACATTTTTAATTGCAACTATTGCTGTTATACACAGTGACTAAGATAGTTTCAAATCTATTTTAATTATTTAGCTTCTAATGGGTTTTTTTCAAAACATCATTCTAATTCTTATTTTGACAATACAATATAGTACTGTCCTGAAATTTATTAGTTTTGTTTTATTTCTCTATCAGCCTATCTCAACAAATGAGTCTGGATGGCATACATTATGAAACATAAAAAGAGTTAAAACAATACAAAATAAATATATACGGGCCCAAATAAAACTGTTACTATGGGCATTAATACAGACAGAAAATGGGTCCCTTAGCACCCAACCAAGTCTTCACAGCCTTGTCAAAGGCCAACCCGGCACAGGTCATTCTGATATCTGAAGAGGACAGAGTTGACCCCATTTTCTTTAAGAGCTGACAGAATCATCTCCTCTCTCAAGCATGCATTCACTACTCCCACTTGTCATTGAATCAGTGGTGGGATTCAAATTTTTTTACTACCGATTCTGTGGACGTGGCTTTGTGGGTGTGGCTTTGTGGGCATGGCAAGGGAAAGATACTGCAAAATCCCCATTCCCTGCCTACTCCTGTAGAGGGGGGAGATTACTGCAAAATCCCCATTCCCTCCACCCCACAAACCTGCTTCTCCTGTTCAGGGCAACAAAAGAAGATTGGCTATGAGGCAGTGGGGGTGGAGCCAGCCTATATGCCGGTTCTCCAAACTATTCAAAATTTCCCCTACTGGTTCTCCAGAACTTGTCAGAACTGGCTGAATACCATCTCTGCATTGAATATGTCGCAAGGATTATCTTCAGTGTAAGATTAGGCTCCCCGCCCCCCAAGAACAAAGGACTGGGGTGGGCTCATTGTGAGGAACGGATTGAAGAACACACATTTACAGTTTTTTGTATTTATCCATATTTGTGTATCATCTGCTTCAAACTGATGAAGAATGTGCCATCAATTCTTGTTCTTTGTAGATAGAAAACACTCCAATTGCCAAAAGATTGAGGGTTGCATACAGAAATGGGTCCTTTTGTTACCAACCTTTGCTGTAACCAACTTTTTTACTTCATAAAACATCACATTCAAGTGCCATTGAATGTGGCTTCTTTTTCTTTCACAGCTTTTTTTGGAAAATACCTCAATGAATACAATGGCAGCTATATCCCCCCTGGCTGGCGAGAGTGGGTTGGATTAATAAAAAATTCTCGTTTCTATAATTACACTGTTTGTCGCAATGGCCTTAAAGAGAAGCATGGATTTGAATATGCAAAGGTAAGGAAGGATCACATTAATCTTATTATGCACATAGGTAAAACCTATTCTTGATAGAAGAAATGATATTTTAAAATCACTTTATTGAAATAAAACTCTTAATTTTTTTGTTACTGTATGGCCAGAATTTTTTTCACATAATGTTCATAGAAGGTCGGTAACACTATGGATTTCTGGTTATGAAGAAAAAATAATGAAAGCTACTGAATCCTGGAAATTTGACAGTGGCAACAAACAAACACACAAATTACACAGCACATTTGTTTCCCATAAAAAGCAATTGTCTTTTATCTTTTGGGAGAGAGATAATTTGCAAAAGTTTCTGGTTTCCAGTGCTATCTATGACTCCATGTTATGTACAATATTTTGGCATTTGAAGTTTGAAGAAAACTTCCTCCTTCAGAAAATACTTTTTCCCCAGTAAGTCTTTCACTGTTGACAGAGAAGAGCTAGTGGGACTGGATTAATGGAAAAACATATTTGAAAATCAGTGAAATTTATCTTTCAAACTGATTTTTAGAACTTTATTAAATTTTTAAACAAGTAGGATAAAAACTAACTGAAACTAATAAGTCAGGTGAGAATTTTTTTGAAAAAATAAAGGACAAAGCCAAAAGCTCAGAAAAAAAGAAATTTAAAGAAATAAATCTTGGTTTTCTTATACAACATTTATACATTTAAGCTGACCTCTTACTCTAGAGTTATGACATACTTTCTTTCATACTTTTTCACATGTATCTGCAAAGTACTTTTGGCGTTAGGAGTTTGAGAAACAGTCCTGGAATGAGGACAAAGTGTTCACAGCTGTATGGGCTTCCCTTAATAGTGTTATGTGTCAAAAAATCCTGCACTTTTTTTCACTGTTGCTTTTGCAGCTGTTCATGACCCTGAGTCCACATCATCTGATTGATTAGTCCAGTCTGGAAATGGCTGAAATTGTATGTTCATGTTACCTTGGAACTCCTCACTGGAGTACATGCCAGTCATTTGATCAAAAACGCCGCAAACCTAGAGATGACAGATAGTTTAATTCCCAACTTTTTAAAAAGTCTCTCTCTCTCTCTCTGTGTGTGTGTGTGTGTGTGTGAGAGAGAGAGAGAGAGAGAGAGAGAGACAGAGAGAGAGATATTTCATTTTATTACATTGGCTATAGGTTAAGCTGCTTAGTTGATATGATAGGATTTTTATATTAGTAGCTGTGCTGTGCTGTTCTAAAATGAGCTGATTTCTTTAGAAATGCAAGTATTCTTTTTTAATTACAATTATAGCCAAGAGGCTATGGGTAGCTTGGATATGATTTAAATGTCCCAAAGTCTTTGTCTTCTACTTAAAAGGTGTCATTCCTACTTACCTTACACAGATAAGTCTATTGGAATGCAGCCATTCATCTGCATATATTTGATCTGGGAACTGTGCCCAGCCTCTAAAACTAGATAGGTGAAATCCTTTCAAAGCCTATTGGACTAAGCCACTATAATATGACCTTGTGATATTGGATGCAGTTGGCAAATTGTCATTTATGTTGAATGTTTGTTTCAGGACTATTTTACAGATTTAATCACTAATGACAGTATCAGTTATTTCAAAATGTCTAAGAGGACATATCCCCATAGACCTATAATGATGGTGATCAGCCATGCAGCTCCCCATGGCCCAGAAGACTCTGCACCACAATTCTCTGAGCTGTATGCAAACGCTTCTCAGCACATGTAAGTGAAACTTCATACTGTGAACATGCTGGGGATTTGCCACTTCATTGCTGACTGCCCTTTTCAGGTGTGGAATGGAAATTTGATGTCCTGCATAGCCTCAGCCAGTCACCTTCTTGCCCTGCTTCAATTCCTTGAGGGTTCAATAAAATATTCTAGAATATTCCATACTTATGCAAGGGTCCATATTTTCTACCTTTTGAAAAACATAATCTTTACTTTTTTGTTTTAGGAAAGCCTTGTAAACACTGAGAATACTGAGTTGTCATTTGCCTTGGTGTCTAAAGCAGTTGGAACACCTTTTTCTTCCATTTTTCCTTTTTTTCTCCCGGGGTTGCCTGAGTTTCTTTCAAGTTTCTCTCTGAACATTTGGTCTCATTTCTGTACAATTGATATTAAGTTTGCACTAAAGAAACAGTAAAGTCTTGGTATTGTGCAGTGGATTTTACCAATTCATGGTGGTAGATGCGGATCACATATTTGCATGCTTTCTCTGTTAAAAACCAATGAGTAGCATCTACAAAATGGGTATGAATTAAAATAATAGTGATATTTTTTTATGTATTTGCTAATGTGTTTATAATATGGAAGACACATTTGCAGCCTAAAACGTATTTCAGAAAATATATTTCATAATCTCCCCTAAGCCTGAGATAAATGGTTGCACAAGAAAAAAAGCCAGTTTATGTCACCATTTTAAAATAATAAATGAAAAAAGGCTATATTTTTGACATCTATACTTCTTCCCATCCCATTGACAATTCCCATGCTTTTGCTTTGATATCTTAATTGGTGCAACAAATTCAGACCAAAATTTGTTGGGTAGCACCATTAAATCTGGATAAAAGGGTTTGTGAAGTGCTTTATTTTAAACTGTTTTAAGTGAAACTTTGTAAACTTCATCATTTTTGAATATTTCAGATGCAAAACATCTTCAAAATAGCTCTGTTTCTAGCTTATTTTTGTACTTGAAATTGGGACATTCCAATTCCCAAACATTTATTTTTGTCTATTCCTAATTTTGAGATCCCAAATGTCTAACAAATAATCAGTACATAAATATATCCCCCCAAAAATCAGAGTTGTTGACTGAAGTTGCAGGCAAACATAATTTTAAGATACAAAAATTTCCCAACCTGGATAAGCTGAACCAACCATAGTCATGCAGTCATGGAACCGAATGGTTAGAAAGTGTCATGGAGATCATCTAGTCCAATTCCCTTTCCAGTACAGAATCTACTGCAATAGCTATCTCTGACAGATGGCTGTCCACCCTGTTTAAACACCTCCCATAAGAGTCTAAAATCTCCTGAAGGAATTTGTTCCATTGTTTAACAGCAAAATGATATACTTTCTGATATCCAATCAAAATTTGCTTCCTAAGTATTCCATTTTCTACATTAGAATCATTTGGAAAACAGCTATCACACTTACCCACAGACTTCTCCAAATTATATATCCACAACTCCTCCAATTGTTTTCTTATAAAGATTTTCTTCCAGATCTCTTAATCATCGTAATGGTTCTGGATATGCTCCAATGTATCAGAGTTTGTCCAACCAGCACAGAAATGAGAGCACAAATGACTTGATATTTTTACAGTATTTTTGTTGATGCAACCTTGAGTTGCATTTGCTTTATTTCCATCAACACTGTTGGCTCATGTTCAAATTGTAATCCACCAAGACACCCAATTTCTCTCAGGAATATTGCTTCCCAACATGGTCTTCCCTACTCTACACTTATGCCTTTGATTTTTCATTTCCAAATCAAGGTATTTTCTCCTGTTAAAATCCATCTTGTTGCTCTATTGTTATAGCTTGTCAATACATCCTAAGTTCTAAAACTGTAATAATTCTCTATCTACCCTATGTATATGTCATCCATGTTATGTTTCCTAAGTCATCACTCAAATCATTAATAAATAGTATATTAACACTACAGAGCCTGGGATCTTTGTAGTGTTACTATTCAATACCTCTTTCCACTTGACTGAGAGCCAGTCCTGTAGGCACGCAAGGGTTTATAACTGTAATGAGTTCTGTATCCATTCCCTGGAAGCAAAATCCAGTCCACAATGTGCTTATCTCCTGTATTAAGTTTTTGTGGGAGTCTGGGCCACACTCCCTTAACAGACTGTTGGGCCAACAGATTGGTGCCTCTTAGCAGGGAGTCTTTGGTCACCCCCACTGGAAAGGCAAACAGCTCTATTTAGGCCGAGCACTTACTTTTTAAATACTGAAAGATTGACCTTCTAAAATTTTTGACTTTCTAAAAAAGTATGCATTATCACTTCAGCCTCTAACGTTTCTTCTCCCACCCCAAAAATAAACAGGATAGCAGACAGGATAGCAGGATGAGGCAGGGGAGTAAGGAAGAGGAGGGAGGGCTCGCCTGAAGGTTCTCAGACATGGCTGTGTTCTAAAAATTTAATTAGAAGCAGATTTCATGGAGTGGTTGAAACTAAGGCCAAGTAATAGCCCCATTTAATCATTTTTAAAGCATGTAAGCTGCACTGTTCCCATCGCCCTCTACATATGGGGGAGGGGGTGTCTGCAGCTGAGAGACTCCACTCTCTGTGGAGGCTGTCTGCACAGTTGAGAGCTCTGATTGACCAGGGTTTCCAATTAAATGAAAGGTCTTCATGGACAAAGGAAGCCCTCTTTTGCAGTAAGTGGCTTGTTACCTGTTGGAAATGATGGAGGGCAAAACAGAGTTAAATTGTTTGTCTTCACACTTGCCCGCATTTTGCATGTGGAATCTATGCTCACTTTTAAAAAATGATCAAAGACAGCTCTCAAGCATTAAACTTAGCAGCCACTTCCACTCTTCTGCGTTAGGAGATTGAGAAAAGTTTTGTCTGCACTGGACACTATATGATATTAATATCTGAACTTGGTAACCTTGGAAACTTTTGTTAAACTCGGTATGCATCCCTGAAAATATGTAATAGTTTGAAGCCAAAGTGATTTGTGCTTAACTGATTATAAAAAGTGTGGAAGCACAAATCAGAAATCACTATTTTATCCCAACCTGGCTGTCTTGAAATTCTGGGACTATTATGCATCTTTCATTCAGTGGTTACTGCAAGTTGTTTTAATACTGAAAGACTAAACAGAGTAAAATCTTATTTGGAACTGTAAAAGGAGAAATGGAAGATAAACTGCCAGTTTGCATGACTAAATTGCTAAAGGAATGGTTTCTGCTGTTTAATACGCTGCCAGCTTATCATGGCCTGTTAACAAAGGAAAAATCCAATGTCTCCCTGACTTTTCCTTTGGCTATAGCTCGTGAAAATAATAGCAAGAGCAATATAATCATTTGGTAAGAAGTGTCATTGTTTGAGTATTTAACTATTGAGGATTCTTCTCTTTTGGTGGCTAAATATATTCTGGCACCATTATTTTCTGGTAATGGGTTTAAATTTAAGCTGTCTGATTTTTCTTTTTTGGTTTGGTTTGTATTACGTCAGACTAACAAATGTATTCGTATAATGTTAACAATGGGAAGAAATATGAAAGACAAAAGTATTGAAAGGCTAGAAAAATATATTATCTACAAGCAAAATATAAAAAATGACTAAATTGTTGAAAGTTTTGTTCCTTGCTACTATGTTGGAAAAGTAATATAACTTGTTCATGGCTAAGACCTTCAAAATTTTAGCCACAGTACTTTATTTTCCACATTACTGTACTTTGCAGAATTAAATGCAAGTAGGAAAGTGATAATCAAATATTTATTTGAATATTCATCAGAATTTTACTGAGGTCAAATAGAACTTTTGAAACTGAGGCCAGAAAGGAATTGACTTTTGCAATTCCTTATTCTAAACAGTGCACAGAACTGGAAAAAATGCCTAATAAAAGGCCTAAAAATGATGTTTGTCTGTAGACAGTTGAATCCTAACACAGTAACGATCTTAAAGCATACGAGAAAGTGTTTTAGAAGATGTAATAGTGTAATAAACTATTAATGCTATTAAATAATATAAAAGGAATATAAATAGAAAGTTCTTTTAAAATATAAATAATCTTGGAGTTAAATTAATTTTAATAATATTTTAATAATATTAATTTTACCTCCAAGTTTGAGAACTAGATATTCTTTTGTTTGTGTGAAGTTAAATTGAACTTCTTTGGAATTTTTATAGCAAGAAAATATAGGATTCGGAATACAGCCTAAACATATAAATATTTTTAGTGAAACCTAATTAATTTAATGCAATTCAGAGTAACCAGATAGAATACCAGATAAGTACACAGATAGTCTTTGACTTAACAATTGAGCTCAAAATTTTTGTTACTAAGTGACAGTTAAGAAATTTTGCCTCATTTTGCGACCTTCTTGCCACAGTCATTAAGTGAATCACTGCAGTTTTTAAATTAGTAACATAGTTGTTAAGTGAATTTGGCTTCCCCATTGACTTTCCTTGTCAGAAGGTCACAAAAGGTGATAACATGACTCCAGGACACTGCAACCGTCATAAGTATGAGTCAATTGCCAAATTTTGAACACCTGACCATGGAAATGCTGCACTACTCATAAGTGTGAAAACTGGTCATAAGTCTCTTTTTTCGGTACCACTGTAACATTGAACAGTCACTAAATAAACTGTTGTAAATTGAGGATTACTTGTACTGGCAAAATGCAGCCAGGACATGATGGGTTCTTACCGGTTCAGACCGGTTTGGCCGAAATGGTAGTGGTTTGCCAACCTGGGTCGCTGGAACCGGCAACGACCCACGGCTGCCACACCCCCGTACCAGTTGCCCAGTCAGCGCCATGGATGCCACCATCTTGTTTTTCAGTTCTGTGCATCCGCAGAACAATTTTAACTGCACTGTGCATGTGCACGCAGTGCACATCAAGCGCGCACACAAACAACCGACAGTAGTGTTGGCTGGAATTCACCCTGAGCTAGGAATATACAATAGGTTTTGTAATCCTGTAAGAAATGTAACGTATAATCTGGACACCACAGAATCTTACCATTGTTCACCAACTGCCGTCCATCTAATTATTTAAGAATTTCTAAGTCGTGGGACGTTCTGAAACCAAATTAGAAGGAAAAGTTTTTATTTTATTTACACCATTTTATTATATTTTGTTTTTAAGCTTTGTATTGAATGAAGGACTATAAACCACTCAGATGATCAGATGCATTGTAAATAATCGCATAAATATATATTTCACCCCATTTTTCCCTTCAGCAATCTTATTTTAAAAAAATCTATCAAGTTGAAACATTCTTTGCACATTCAGAATTGTCTCATATATAGTTATATATTTCCCTCACCCAAGCTTTCTGTAGGACTTATTTATTGCTTGTAACACTATGAGTTTTATATAAAGATCATCTAAACCTTAAAGTTCAATCGAATTAAGAGGAGTACCCCAAAGATCAATTAAGACAGGATCCAAAGGACTTGAAAATAGTTTTATATCATATGTTATAAATATGCAAACACAGCACCTCTGAGAAAAAAATTAAAAATGGTTCAATGTGCATCATAATTAAAAGTGTTATGAAGCATCTCTAATTTCCTCTAAGTACCTTAATAAATTATTAAATAAATTATATAACTATCATTACTTTTACACAGAATTGAATAGGAGACAAAATGAAATAAACTTTTTATTTGCCTTTGAATATATATTTTGAGGAAGGCTAGATTAATATTAAGGAAAAGGAGTAGAGCAAAGAGGAAAAAATAAATTATAATTTAAAAAGCACTGTGGTTTATTAACTTTTCCTTGTAGCTCCAAACTCTTAACAGTGTGCAAATAAATTCTGTAAAAAGGGGAGGAAATTTTCAATCCACTAATGTGACTTTGGTAGCGAAATTTAAAGAAAATGCAGTTTGCTTTTTCCTGCTTCCACAAGAGTACAAAAAGATTTCTGGATGCCCTTAATTTGTCAGATAAGCAAAATAATGACTTTAAGTTCAATAACATTTTAAACTGTATCTCCTAAATCATATTTCTTCCTGTGGAAAAAAACATATTACAGTCTTAAGGTAGTTTGGACAGAACATAATATGGATCTCTGAGATATTTCCCAATAAATGGCAAAGGCTTATCAGCTATACAAAATGGAAAGGGCAGAATATGCAGGGAGCCCTCTCGGTTTCTACCGATAAGCTTTGCCAGAGCTAATATTCCACCTAATATGTTCTGCTTCTTGTAGAATTCCAACCATGTGTAAGTTGCACTGGTGAGACTGAGATTTGAAAGACATTATTTTGACCTGAAGAGTATTAGCCTTCAATAATTCCGCTACGGATGTCTCAGATGACATTAAAATCTTTGACTTGGGTCATTCTTTTTTTCAGCAACACCCAATGAAATATTTACAGCACAAACAGTAGCATTAGTGTTATTTTCTCCCATATCATAATGAGAACAGACATAACATGCTTCTTAATGATGGCTGCAGCCATTGTTTTAGGGGCGATTGGGGCAGCTGACTCTCTGTGGGCAGCATCCAAACATCAATAGACTCTTCAGTAATCAAAACGGAAGATAAACACTATTTTCTGGCTCTAATCATGGCAATTATACAAAAAGCAAGATAATAGTGCTGCAGGGAGTGGCATGGTATGCGCATGCTTAGTTTTATTTTATTTGCTTATGTGAATGGCAGAAATTGTGATGCTGTCTGCGACAAAGAGTGGAAAGCAGAAAAAATGTTGCTTGATAACTCGGCAAAGTTAGATGAAAAAAATTATCATTATTACATAGTTAAAAAACTATAACATAGTTAAAGAACTATGATACAGTTCTGTTTGTTAATGAGGAATGTCTGTTAATTAAGCAATTCCTTAATTACATGACATTCTTGCATCAGTAGGAAATTTTCTTTTTGCTATTGAATAAGGAAAAAAATATTTATTTTTAATTTTCCTAATTCTCATGACTCTGATATACATGTAGTACAGCAGTTTATCTATATATTAATTTCAAAAATGTTAATTTTCAGAAATTAGTCAGTAAAAACAGAAAAAAAAACTTGCTGTGGTATAGCCAGCAAGCCTGAAAGTTGAAAGAATGATGCCTGGGGAATTCTTGGAGTTTAAGCCCACACCCTTTAAAGTGGCCATGGTTGAAATACACTACGCTGTGGCTTGTGAGCAAGAGAGTCACACAGGGAGTCACACAGAACAATCCTCACATCCCTGATTGTTTCTTAGGAGCATATTGCCTTTATTATTTAAAACATCCATTAATGTCTATGGAGATTCTCAGTCAACCAGGGCATAGTTGTCCCAAAGATGCTTTTTCAAGAGGCAACTGGACTTTCTAATTTTTCTTTGAAGATGTTTTGCTTCTCATCCAAGAAGCTTCTTGGATGAGAAGTGAAACATCAGCCTCAGAAAAAGACCAGGTGATTATAATATTGGGGTTATAAATAATATGCTAGAAGTCAGATCTCAGAATTGCATGAAATAAACTACCTACTTAATTGTGATTGCTTACTCTCAACTGGTAATTTATAAGAATGCATTTCATAACCTTGCTTTTTTTTCTGAAAGTTACGTATTTTGATGTGCAGTAGATAATAGCAAAAAGGGCAGATTTTGCATCTTGAGCTTAATCTATATTATCTTCCCCTGCAGAACTCCTAGTTACAACTATGCACCCAATATGGATAAGCATTGGATCATGCAGTATACAGGGCCTATGCTTCCCATCCATATGGAATTTACAAATATCTTGCAACGCAAAAGACTTCAAACTCTGCTGTCGGTTGATGATTCCATGGAAAGGGTAAAAAAATAGACATGCTTAAAGCCATTCTGTAGTACTACATTCTGCTCTGTTTTGAATATTGCTATGGTAGGAAATCTTTGTCCCAGAATTCCACTTACCAATACATTCCATTTTTATATAAATACCCCAATTTTTATTCCATTCATTCTTGCAACAGTATCGATAATAAGGCAAACCAAGTACATGAAAAAGGGTAATATTTCATCTGATAAAATAGATATACACATACACAAGGATTGTGTAGTGAAGCATTGTAGTGTACAGGTAGTCCTATAATCATAACTGAGCCCAAAATTTCTGTTGATAAGCGAAGCAGTTGTTAAGTAAGCTGTGCCTCATTTTATGACCTTTTTTGACAGTGGTTAACTAAATCACTACAGTTGTTAAGTGAATCATGTGGTTGTTAAGCAAATATGGCTTTTTCCATTGATTTTGTTTGTTGAAAACCAGCTGGAAAGGTTGCAAAAAGGTAATCATAGGACCATAGGACAGTGCAACTGTCATAAATCCATGCCAGTTACCAAGAGCTCAAATTTTGATCACATAACCATGGTGATGCTGCAATGGCCATAAATGGGGAAAACAATCATAAGTCACTTTTCAACACTGTTGCAACTTCAAATGGTCACTAAACAAATAATTATAAGTCAAGAACTATCTGTATGAGTCCCTCTGTGTTCTGTACTAATTAAAAACATTCTATAATAAATTTCCTTGGGTTGTTTGAAATCTTCATTGCAAATAGTTTGATAGGTTCATTTTAGCTGATAGAAAAAAAATACAGAAAAGTTAAGCAAATTGTATTTGAACACATTTAAAGAGACTTTCTGTATCAGTGAAACTAACTTAGTTTTACAGTCATACTTGCTTGTTTTGCAGCCAAATAGATTCATATGACCTGGAGAATATCAGAATTGTAGAGACCTACAAAAGCTTCCCAAGATGTACATAAGATGGGAAACATAGTTTGTTTCGAGCCTGAAACAAACAGCCCATTTGAAACAATATAATGGAACAAAATTCAAACTAGATTCAGTCTTTCATCACATCAAGCTTAAAATAAGTTGTACATTCTGAGATTCCAAGAGACAATGAGAACTTGGAATCAGATCCTTACTGCCTTCTCAGCATTCCATCCGTGGCCCGTAAAATGAGGATTCAAGATTGTTGCAGCTAATATGGTGACTGGGTAAACTGCTTAGATATGCTTTAAAGCACTGTGAAGCTTTATATACAGTAAGTCTAAGTGCTGTTGCTGCTGGCTTGTTTTATGGCCCACAAAAGTAGGTGATCCCTGGCCAATGAACTCACATAAAGGTTGGGAAAAGTGGCAATGAAAAACATTGTAAAATATCATAAGTAAAGCATTTTTACCCAACCATCAACTTAGAAAAACCCTTAAGGTGTTCAGGAAAGACCACAAAAGTCTTCAATTAAACAGGGATGCTCAGCAACACAATACAAACCAAAGAGATGAAGCTAGAAAGACTCATTGATATTTAACCGACAGCCCGCAAGTACTTGGCGAAAACCATCCAGCCAAGTTATAAGTAAGTAACCAGATGCAGACCTGGACAAAAAGTTAATTTCTTATGGGTGCTACCATTCCTATCAGGTTTGTTGTTATCTTTCCAGATAATTTTTAAACTAAGTATTGTTTGCTACTTAAAATGCTTAATTAGAATTCTTGCAGAAAAAAATACAGAATATTGGTTGAGTATAAAACAAGACCAGAATGTTTTCTGAAAACTCTGATTAAGCAATAGTTGGGACAATTACGTGCTCATGTGTTTATTTGGATTTGATTGTATATTCACAAACATATCACTCAACAACCACAGCTGAATCAGCAAAAGTTAAATAGACGAGAAATCAAAAGTTCATCAAACAATTCCAAATGTCAGCCGGTGTATTTTTGAATACACTTTGTAAACTCAACTTCTGCAAGTCATAACAGCTTGCACAAACTGCCCACTTCCAAATAAGCTCAACAAATCATTTAAAGTAAATTAATCTCAGCAATGTTACTTCACAAGGCCTCGTTCTCACAAGCACACTTATTTTGTATTTACCTGCCTACTATCCATATCATAAACTTAAGTTTCACCATAACAGAATTAATTTAAAAAATAGCAATAGTTTGCTTAGTATTGCTAATAGGCAGGCAATGGCATGAAGACATTACGTTAGCTGTCTTTTTCATCTGACTGGGCTGTGGCCAATTCTGCTGTTGTTGAGAGAATCATGTCTATATCTTTAAAGCAATAAATAAGTGTGTGTTGGTCTCAGAGCTAGTGCATTTTATCTTGCAAGAAAATTAGCAATCAGAATCCAACACTGAATACTCACAAAAGGGTGGGAATAATATAGTCAGCCCCTCAAAGTAGATCAGTCTAGGAAACCAAAGCCTCATAGATCAGTACTACTTTGATTGTAAAGCTACAATAATAGAATCGTAAGTCTGAATGTATTCTCCCATCCTTCCCCTTATCTTCATGTGAGCTAAGGAAGAACTTGTTTAAAACTTTTATTCACATTGAATCATTGGCCTGGCTTCAGCCTCCTTTTCTCTGTTTCCTTAGTAGCAGGTCTTCCTTCCGCCCTCTACCTCTAGAGCTAGACACAGGTGAATTGATGGAAAGAACAGCTTTCATGGGCACCAATAACCATATGTGCATAGGTAGTGATGATCAGGTGGCCAGTGGTTTGCTAATGGGGGCTGTTTTCTGTTTGTGATGGGAGAAGAGCCTATTCTTTGGTCCCCAGCTTTGTTTTGGCTTCTTCCATTATGATGCTGGCTGATGTACCACAAGAAGAGGTACTATTAAGTCAGGCTTCGATGTAGTTGTTTTCTCCCCACGTCTGATCAGCAAATTCTGCCTTGGTCTTTCTTTCAGTTTATCATCTCTCTCTTTAGCTATTCCTCGGCCTCTTCCAATCATGGCTTTGGGGAGTAGACTTTTATAGGGCAGATAAACTTGACCTAGTTATCTAGTCTTAAACTGGAGGGGTACTGTAAAGGAAAGATGAAAGAAAAAGAAAAGCAAAAAGAAAAGATTTCATGTAACTCTTAGAGTGATTGAAAGCCTCAATTATAGAGCCGAGGTGGCGCAGTGGTTAAATGCAGCACTGCAGGTTACTTCAGCTGACTGCAGTTCTGCAGTTCAAATCTCACCGGCTCAGGGTTGACTCAGCCTTCCATCCTTCCGAGGTGGGTAAAATGAGGACCCGGATTGTTGTTGGGGGCAATATGCTGACTCTGTAAACCGCTTAGAGAGGGCTGAAAGCCCTATGAAGCGGTATATAAGTCTAACTGCTATTGCTATTGCTAATTGTTCCAATCTTGAAAAAGACTAGTTCTGTTCCAAAATCATGACAAACTACTGCGCTTTGTTCCAATCTGGAAACCGCTGATGCATATTGTTTGAAGCATCAAGCTCTAAAATGCACATTTCCAATTTGCTTTATATCTGATGGAATTTGTATAATCTCTTCTAGATGCATATGGTGATTGTTTCACGATTGCTGGATTTTAATTGGTTTTAGTGATATAGCCCTAACAGAATTGTTTAAATGTAAATTTTGTAAATACTGCTTTGTGTGTATGTATAATGATTGATTTAGCATTGATTTGCATTGATATTTTTTCCATTTATTGCATTTCAGTTATATCATATGCTAGTGGAAACTGGAGAACTGGAGAATACTTACATTATTTACACTGCTGATCATGGTTACCATATTGGACAGTTTGGACTGGTCAAGGGAAAGTCAATGCCATATGATTTTGATATTCGGGTTCCTTTCTTTATCCGTGGTCCAAGTATAGAGCCGGGATCAGTGTACGTTCTCCTATGTCTGCAGCACAGCTGTTGTACCTAATGTAAAATATTTGTAAGCACATTTGATTGTCATTCTTGTGGATGGTTTATTTCATCAAGATTATTGCGAAGCATGATCAAAGAAGAACATCTTTTTTTTACTTTGTAAATGTTATTCTTTCCAAACTTTGCTAGAAGTATAATGGCATATTCCTTTTCTTATTGTTATAGCCTTGGACTGTTATTTTGTAGCTTGCTGCTAAGACTGTAATGGGGTCATGTGAGGATATATTTCACTTACTGTGGCTTTACCGGGTATATAAATATTTAGCCACAAGTCTGCTGGCTCAAATAGCATGACTGCTTTATCTCATTGCATAACTGAAATTAGTGTGGCTCGTCCTAATTCACTGTCCGGTAAGGGAAACTTGGAAGAAACTTGAAACTGCCATTGCATATACTATTTTCTTAAGTACTTGTATAAAATGACGCTCAGGTTCTTTTAATTCTACAAAGATTTCAGATATTTCTTCTAATGTGCCTAATACAGCTCCGACCTTTTCTGTTCATTTGCAGAGTATCTCACATGGTGCTGAATATTGACCTTGCTCCAACAGTTTTGGATATTGCAGGACTTGATACACCTCCAGATATGGATGGCAAATCTATTCTTAAACTTCTGGACCTTGAAAAACCAGGGAACAGGTGAGCTGAAGCACTTTCTTGAGGCCCATTTGACACCAAATTCTTGAGTTGGCTTGTGAAGAAGAGAGAAAGTGAAACATGTCTAAAGTACAAATGACCCTTGCTTTCCCAGCACACAAAACAATTTTAAAGATCATATTTATAAAATTGTGGAAGTTGTGAGCAAATAATTTGCTTGGAATAAAAATAAGTTAGTCATCTTTAATTGCATAGCCAAACATAGCCACAAATGCCAACAGTAAATTGTTGTTATTTTGATTTTAGGTTTCGAACAAACAAGAAAACCAAAGTTTGGCGTGATACATTTCTTGTGGAAAGAGGGTAATTATTGAAGTTGAGTGAGTTCTAGGAAAATTGCCTGGTGGGAAATTCTCTTAATTTTGTATGCAAAATCCTTTGTTCAACCTTTTTTTGCTACTATTAACAGTGCAGGTGGTGACGCTGATTCCTTGTCAGACTAGGTTGACCCGGATTGTAAAAGAAAATCATCTTGGATGCTTTAGAGAATGGAAAAAAGGCAAAACAGGAACAATATTTGGGCTTTTTCTTCCCAGACCTCACTGGGTGTGAGCTGCTTTCCATCTCCTCAGTTTTAGTAACGCAAACTTTCCCCAATGGCATCCTTTCTCTATAATCATTTGACAAAAGAAACTGCTGATTTGTCTCTTTTCATCCTTGGCCCAGTCAGATCTTATCACAACTGAAATACATAAGGAGAAGCCTGCCGAAGTATATGAGCTGAGGAATGAATCCTTCCAACTCTTTACAGCTTCCATATTAAAAACTTGTGGTGAACAAGCCTAAAGAGATCATCCAATGCAGTACTAAAGGCGAGGCCAGATGCCAACTCTTACTCTGCCCTATTTTCTCTGCCTGTGCCAAGAAATGATAGAAATGAAGGGTTTTGCAAATGTTTATCCTGCATATTTTAATGTAGAAAATACACATTTCTTCTATCCATGCAATCTCTCATTAGGAGGCAACAACTGCATGAAATGCAGCCTTGAATTCTGCCAGTCATCTTTGTCCTTCATATACATATGCATATGCATATGCATGTACATATATACATTATATGTAGACAGCTGTGTGAAAAAGTCCTGCACATTTTCAGTTTTAAGCTGTATTTACATGTTTAATCAACTTTTTACTCAAAGAAACCACGCAAAATTTGTATTTTGATGAAAATTTCTGTAGTTGGGTTGAAATGCATAATTTTTATTAATATAACCAAAGTCTTTTTAAGGTTTTGAGTGAGTTTATGTGCTAAAACAAACACACCTTGAATTTTCAAGAATGTTAGGATCGAAAGTAGCCAATCAGTAGTGAGCTTTGGCTGACCAATCAAAATGCACAGCATCATTGTGCTTCATGAAGAAGGTTACTCCTGTACAGAAATAGCCAAGAGAGTGAAATGCCACCACACCACAGTGAGAAGAGTGGTTGAAAAATACCAAATAACTGGTTCAATTGATGACAGACTCTGCTCTGGAAGACCAAGAAAGTCGACAAAACCGCAGATCAGGCTCTGCAACTCATTTTGATGGCTGATAGGAAGTTAACCTCACCTCAGATTACAAGAACCTGGGGTGAAACATGTGATGTAAAAGTGTGCACAAGAACAGTATGTTGCAGACTGCTTGCCAGAGGGCTCAAAGGCTGCAGGGCTTGAAGTAAACCTTTGCTCACAGACTCTCACTGCTCTTGTCGACATGTGTGGGCCAAGAAGTACGCCAAGTAGGTTGGTGTTGGTCGGTTTCAAATCGTGCAGGGAATCATGAATTCCAAGAAGTATGTTAAAGTCCTGGAAAAGACCATACTTCCTTCAGCTCAGCAACTTTTAAAGAAGGACTTTTACTTCCAGGATGACAACACTCTTTGTCATCAAGCCAAGTCCATTAAGCAGTGGATGAAGAAGCATGGTGTTCAACTCCTAGATTGGCCAGCTCAGAGCCTGGATTTGAACCCAATTGAGAACTTGTAGGCCAAGATTGGTTACAAAATAAGCAAGAAGCATCCGAAGACCAAGCAGGAATTGATTGAATCCATTATTGCAGCCTGGCACCACATTGTCACCAAAGATCACATGCAAAGGCTTATACAGTCTATGCCGAAGCGATGCCGCCTGGCGATAAGCAATAAGGGCTGGCCAATTTCATATTAGTAACCATGTTTGGTTACATAAATGGTCCTTTTCAGGACCACAAACAATAAAAATTTTAACAAAATATTAGCATCGGCCTTAGTAAACGTGTTGTATGTCACTGGGTATGCATAAGTTAATCTGTCTTCATAGACATTGTAAGCATGCAAGAAAATTCACAATCCCCATCCAAACAGCACCAAATTGCAAAAAGTGTATGCTTTTACATAGCAGTTAGCATAAAATATCTAAAATCAATGGCCTATCCAAAACATGTCATTAACTGTAAACCGTAAACCGTGCAGGACTTTTTCACACAGCATACATATATACATTTACATCATATACATAGACATGTTCTACACTAAAATATGTTCCCCCTCCAGTGTACATATCTTCCTGCAAAATGTGGAAATCTGCTCATTGGAAAGAACTGAGCATGGAGAAAGTCTTTTTAGATATCCCGGAGAACATACATAAATCATATAAGACTTCTCAAAGATCTCTTTATGCCAGTGTTTCTCAGTCTTTGGCAACTTTAAGATATGTGGACTTCAGTGTGAAGGCTGGGGAATTCTGGGAGTTGAAGTCCATCCATGCAGGTTGGGGAATTCTGGGAGTTGAAGTCCACCTATCTTAAAGTTGCCAAAATTGAGAAACACTGCTTTAGATTGAAACTCTTCTCATGTCTCACCCTGACCTGTATTTCAAATACATTGCTTTTAATTCTCTGATAAACAATTATTGGTCCTTGTTGATTTACTTCCAATTCATAGAGACGCTTCTGTTTTGATTCATGTATATTATTCACACATTCTCAAAAGTACTGCCTCTTTTCTTTTTAAAGCAAATTTTTGCGTAAGAAGGAGGAATTGGGCAAAAATACTCAACAGTCAAATCATTTGCCTAAATATGAGAGAGTAAAAGAATTATGTCAACAAACGCGATACCAAACAGCTTGTGAGCAACCTGGTCAGGTAAGCAGTAGATATAACACATATTTAATTATACCTCATAATTCTTTAAGAGCTGGTGTGATCATACAGTGATTAATTTGATAACACATGTCATATGAACCAGTTTTTTAAGGGACTTTTTAATACGAAGGAAAATCAAGCTTTTGATAAGGGTGTGCCATACCATGTGCACTAATCAAACACATGGTAAGGAAGAAGGAGAACTCAGACATAAAGCAGGGTATGTAGAAAGTAAACACAGGGTCAGTCAAAAAGGACTCAAATGTCTATACAGTAATGCAGAAAGAATGAAGAATAAACAGGGTGATCTAGAAATTCAAGTACATGAGGGCAGATATGATATTGTTGCATTATGGAAACTTGGTGGGATGAAACCCATGAATGGAATATAAAGCTATAGAGATTAAAGAAACATACCTAATAAAAGAGGAGGTGGAGTTCCATTATATATAAGAAGTACCTTATTTTTCGCTCCATAAGATGCTCCTCACCTTAAGACACACCTAGGTTTAGAGGAGGAAAACAAGAAAAAAATGCCTCCCAGCGTCCATCCGGTAGTCATCTGGCTTGCAGAAAGTAGCCTGCTTCTTCCATCTTTCTATAAATCTTGGTGGGTGGGTGTGGAGTGCTGGTGTTGTTTCAGTAAGTGGAATGATTGGTTGTGTGGTTGTATCATGATTGGTAGATGGATGTTGATTGATGCTGGCTGTGTGTCCATTGTTGTTTCGTGTTGTAACGGCCTGGGTGGTGGGTGGGGCTCGTTTGTTGATTAGGGCTGGCTTCCAGATGTCTCCTGGGTGGGAGGTATCATCATGTTTGTTCATATTGTTTATACATGTATGTATGTATGTATATGTATGTGTGTGTGTGTATGTATGTATGTATGTATGTATGTGTGTGTATATATATATATATATATATATATATATATATATATATATATATATATATATATATATATATATATATATATATATATATATATATATATATATATATATATATATATATATACACACACACACGTACATACATACACGTATGTATGTATGTATGTATGTATATATACATATACATACATACATACGTTCATTCATTCATTCATTCATTCATTCATTCATAGGTCAATCCTCTTCTCCTTGTAACAATTATAACTGTTCTGTCCCATGCCTCTAACTTATACTGACACCAGCTTGGCTGTCTGCCACGACTAAGGAGGGAGATAGGCCTTGGTTAGGAGCCCAGAAAATTATCTCTTATGAAAACAAGGCCTGAACTCACGGATTTCTTCAAACGTTCGCTAACCTGGATAAATAACTGTTGTTTCCTGCAAAATTCCCCTCCCATCGCCCCAGCTATAAGCTCTCTGGGAGGGGCCACTCAGTAGCCACCTGTTTCCTATTTCCTTCTGTGAGCCTGTTTCCAAAGTTGCTCTCTCCTCCTATCAGCTCTACGCATCCGCACATCAGGGACAATCTCCCTTGTTCCTCCTCACTGCTGCCTGACTCAGACACCACCTGGTGGCCAACAGGCCTCTCTAGTCCCTGCTCTGACTCTTAACACCCCCCAGAGTCTTCTTTAGCCTCCAGGGCAGTCCCATAGTGTTCATCGCTCTCAGATTCCACCAACAGCTCAACCAGCCACTGCTGGGCCACAACAGTAACATACCTGTTTCCTCAAGCCACTTACTGTTAAAGGTATTCCTTGAGTTATGATGGCACTGGGGGAAGCTGGCAAGTAGTTGCAAGTCCTACTTAGCTTATAGCAGTTAAGTAAATGGATGCTGCTGGGGGAAAAATGCACAGGAGTGTGCAAATAGCGGGAGAGCCATGGCATGAGTATAGCAGGGCTTAGGATGGCTGCTGCCAGATGGGGCAAAGGTGTTTGATGGTGTGTGAGTGACTAGGGAACACGGTACAAGCGTAAAGGGGTACAGGCATGGCGGACTTACCCCAACAACTTGCAGTCTTCCCTACCATCTTGCCCCTTGACATTGCTTGCTTCCTTTGCCAGCAAGGAAGCTTGCAAATTACAATCACATAGGTGGGTGCTGCAACTGTCATAATTGCAAGCCAGTTGCCTAGCACCCAGATCATAATCATGTGATTGTGCGGGTGCTGGAACTTTGAGAACTGGTCATAGCCACTTCTCATTCAGTGCCTTTGTGACTTTAAACAGTCATAATCGAATAGCTGTTACCAGGGACTGCCTGTGTATTCAGTCTACCTTCACTCAGCGTCTATTCATTCTTGACTAGCCTCTTTTACCACATATATTATAAGTCAGACCATGTTGAAGAAATTTAAATCTTGCTGAATCCTATGAACAAGTTCTTTACTCCGTGTTGCACTTTTTATGTCTTGGCAGTCAAACTTTCCAGCATATTTAAAGCTTGAATTGTCAGCTGGCAATGATTCTTTCCCTAACCTTCAGGCGTGCCTATCATTGAGACATATTTTGTAGACGATGTAATTAATTTCCTTATTACACGAAAGGCTTTTGTGGCTGTTTCAAGCTGTCACAGCATATTAAATAAACGGTGTTTACTTTTTAGACTTCAGAGGGACATTTATTGCACTTTAATGATGTTGAATACAAAGCTACATTAACACTCTTACAAAAACCAATAAAGGGAGAGCATCATAATCTACCTCATGTGGTTTATTGCAAATCTTTCCAGAATTATGTTTGTCACCATTGGTTCTCTGTAATTTCTTCAACAGACAGGAAAAGTTTTTTTTTCCCAGATAGCTTAGTCTGTGAAAATAATTTTAGAAAAGAATGTAGCAGGATGATGGAAGCACAAGGTCCGGTATTACTGAGAAAAGGCAGCAATATCAGAAAGTTACTATACATACAGTCAAGATAAACATGCCTATATATACTTACATCTATAAGTTGTTCAGGTTTCATGGTCAGAATTAAGTGTTTATGAGAAATTTTTGCTATTCTAATGGATGATCTTGGGCAAAATGTGATTCCCTATAATATAATTTGCCTATTTCCAACAGTAGTTGTAAAAACATCAATGATAAATAAATAAATAAATTCAAATTTTAGCAAATAGCACATACTTTATCACTTTGGTGCTGGAATTCTCTCTCCTCATTTCTATAGCCTCCTATTACAATGTAAATCTACCCAGTATTCCTCACATGGTTGATATGAGTAAATTATTTTTATATCGGAGTGTAAAAACATAAAAGTGGGATTACTTATTAATAACCTGTCTATTTTCTAAAAATTATATATAGAATCCTGACGGTTCAAGCAGTGGCTTCAATATTCAGTGAAGTATCCTGTATAATCAGGATGCCTCCTCATCGAGGGTGAAGTCAACAGATGAGTGTTTTATCTATTTAACTCAAGAACTGCTAAACACCAGATTAGATGCTATACATTTCAGTTATTCTAGTCCTTTTGTTGGGCTAATTAACAGTGATGACTGACAGGTGCACCATTCAAAGATCTGAAATACCAAGTTAGGGACAAATCCCGCTGGAGAAAATGTATCTATTTAGTCAAGGGGAATTTACACTGACTTGATGGATCAATCTTTTTGCTTATGATGTAGCTTCCTGGTTATCATGAACAAATCACTTCTCATTGAATAAAGCTGTAACTTTATAAAATAAATTACTACTTTTCTACTAGAATTATTTTTCCACTAGTACCTGTAAATGTCTTTCTCAGAATAAAGAAACTTTGCATGCATCTCAAAACATTAAATTATGAGCAGAGTACTGTCGACCCCTTTTGGTAACAGTAAGAAGTGCAGTCTCAACTTTTTTCAAATCAAAGGCTTTGCATACCGCTGCTGCTTTTCTTCCGAAACAGTGCAGATTCGTATGGTGCAACCATATCTCAGCTCTGTGCCTTTTTTACTGGCTACAGATCCCAGGGATATGTACGTATCTCATTTTTGGAAACCAAGCAAGCCTGGTTTCATTAATTATTGAGAAGTTTCATCCAGTTCTGCCCAAAATAAAGCTAACACTAAAGTGAAATTTAAAGGGACATGAAAATAATGCAAGTATTGTTTGAATTTGGCAAATTATAAATGTATCCTCTCCCAACAAAATTCACCTGAGGGATTTCTACCTTGTTTGCATTTCATTTTTAAAAAACTAATTTGCCTAAAAACACTTAATTTTTTATGTATTTATTGTCATAGGAAGCATGGAGTATAGTCATTTAACAACCAGAAGATAAATCAGAGTTCAAAACTAAAATTCTATATTTATAAAAGCTACAAAATATAAAAAGTATATGAATTAAAAAACAAAGTATATATAGAAACAAAAATATAAAAGACGCTTTAGATGAGGTCTAGGGGATCTTAAAGTGTTAATACAGTATGTGGAAGTCTGTGTCAAGTTACAGAGCATTATGATATAACTAACTAGTGCTCATTAAATCTAGTTTATAGCACTGGTCATCCTCTGACAAATTTTGAGCACTGCTGCACACAATCTGCTAACCTGTATGTTGTAGCAGTGTTGGTATTTGAGAGCAGGAGGGAGGTGAAGAATTGCCCTGTGCATCCTGAATATCTCTGCAGTAAAGGTGAGATGAGGCTATTATGAATGTCACTGTAGTACACAAATTAATGTTTAACAAGGTGCAAAAAGAAATAAATGTTCTCTAGGCTATTATTGCCATCTGTATTTCACTGGACTATCTTTCCCTGTTCCCACAGAAATGGCAGTGTATTGAAGACACGTCTGGAAAACTACGTATTCACAAATGCAAAGGAGCCAGTGACATTCTTGCTGTGAGAAAAAGAACACGGAGCATACATTCCCAGGGATATAGCAGCAAAGAAAATGACTGTGATTGTGGGGAGGCTGATTACCAGACCAGTCGGGCCCAAAGGAAAAATCAAAGAGGCTTCATCAGGACATCCAGTGTACAAAGTAGGTGATGATAGATTTGAAAAAGCCAGAGATCACGATGGGCAGCGATGCTAAAGAATCATTTGTTCCTTATAGGTTGAAAAAAAAACTGCCACTGTATTCAGACTCACTTGTTAGGATGGGAATCACATCTTTGAATTATCATCCTAAAAAAAATATTCAGGTGGTAATCTGGAAGAGCAAAGGTAAAATCTTATAAAGAATGTCTTAGTTTTACATTGCAGAACATTCAAAAATTACATCTCCCACCTGCAGAATTTGTGCAATTCATTTTACTAGCACATTCTTCTGTCTGCATAAAGCAAGTTCAAGTATATTCTTTCAATACCAGCTATCTTTTAAAGACATAACTGAATTGAAATTGCCCATCCAGTCCAGCCATCTAGAGAGGGCCCGCCTCTTTTCAATGTACATTTGATATAGAGAAGATAAGAGCTTTCCTCAGTGGTAGCTGCTCCCACTTTGTGGAATATCTTTCTGATGGTTAAGGCACCCAATTCTTTTTACATTTCACAAACTAGTGAAAGTTGGTATGGCAGCCATTATAGGCATTTTTATATATCGTTGTTTTCATTATTTTCATGTTGCGTTTAAATGATTTTTGTCTTGCTGTTAGCCACCGAGAGTCTGTCAAGATTGGAAAGGATTATTATTATTTTTAAATAAATAATAATTTAAAAAATGTAGCAAATCTTTACCCCAAAATGCAGAATTGGAAATAGCTATCACTATTTATATTGTTTATATGCACTGTATATACATCAGCATTGTAGGAATGTCAGCCCTAGTTCCAATGTCTTGATTCTCTTTCGAAGAGTGTGCATTTTATAGTTGCCTATTGATGAGTCTGTGATCTTATGCAGAATACAAACCTCGGTTTGTCCATACTCGCCAAACTCGGTCCTTATCTGTGGAATTTGAAGGGGAAATATACAGTATAAATCTGGAGGAGGAAGAGGAGAAGGAGGAGGAAGAGGAGGAGGTGGTGCACATTCTTCCGTCCAAAAGCATTGTTAAGCGGCATGGAAGTTACAGTGAAGAGGAAGAAGATGAAGCAGAGGAAGGTCATCTAGAAGATGGTGATGGAATAAAAGCAATGCTTGCTGATGGGACTAACACAGTTGGCCAGCCAGATTCTGTCAAAGTTACTCATAAGTAGGAGTGCTTTACTTAATTACTTTTCATTATTTATTCAGAACCATCTACTATGTGTGTTGTCCAAGGTAGCAGAAGTAAAGATAGCCCCAGGACAGATTTCCGGGATAGAAAAGAGAAGATCTTAGGGGATACATTTTGAGCAAAAGGAATGTCTGCTTTTCATTTTAGGAAGAATGTCAAATAGTAAAGCCAAAGAAATTTTGGCTTATCTAGAAGAACTACAGAAGATCTGAAACATCAAAGCTAGAGCAGCACATGAGCCCTTCTGCCAATTTCCCTATGTGGCCATTCACTCTTTTCTCAACTTCCCTCACTGAGCAGGAAGGTCGGAAATTATTTTTATCTGAACACAAGCAGACTCACCCTGAATGAGAATTCAAGATGAAACAGGTTTATGATTGCATAGAGGATTTTATTCTAATTTGGACGATATAATTTTATGCATAATGCAGGATACTTGAGAACCAAGAGGATAAGAAAAATACATTTGAGATAGGACTAGTTTGTACAATAAAGAGAACAATATCATGGAGAGCTTTTAAAGGTAGGATAAATATTTGATGGAGGTAGAAGGAGAAAAATAACAATTCTAGGGATAGTTTTGTATCATTAAAGTCCTGGGAAATGCAATAGATATATTTGAAAGCAAATGCCTTTTCTTGGAATGTCTGTGTACTTATTTAAGCGTTCATAAGCTCAGATTTAATGTTTAGATACACTGTCCTAAAACATTGGTATTGCTTTCTCTATGGAAAGTTCTTAGATCAAGCACTCACCACAGAGAGCTGTGGATGTGCGGTGGTTAGAGTGCAGTACTGCAGGCTACTTCTGCTTACTGCCGACTGCCTGTAATTTGACAGTTCAAATACCACCTGGCTCAAGGTTGACTCATCCTTCCAAGGTGGGTAAAATGAGGACCCACAGTGTTGGGGTCAATATGCTGACTCTGTAAACTGCTTAGAGAGGACTGTAAAAACACTATGAAGTGGTATATAAGTCTAAGTGCTATTGCTATTAACTGTTAAAGCAGTGAGAGTTATTTGCTTTTCTTATGGCTGTGCAGAGTCCTAGAATTTAAGCTGGGCAAGGTATCTCAAATATATCACACTCTGTTATTGTTTTCTCTTTATTCTTTCCTTACAGATGTTTTATTCTTTCAAATGACTCTATTCATTGTGAAAGGGAGCTATATCATTCAGCCAGAGCTTGGAAAGATCACAAAGCCTACATCGACAAGGAGGTTGGAAGGTCCTTTTCTTAATTTAGAATTAGAACTTTTATTTTGAAACAGAATAATTTATCAGAAAATATATATTGAATGAACATTTGGAATTATATTGGAATTGAGTGCAAATTTCTGCATATTGATACGCACAATATAGGTTCTTGGAGGTAATGGTAAACTATTGTTTTAGTATTATGAGAATGAAACTTATCTGTGGTTCTCTCTTTTCCAGCATCCTTTCTTGTATAGAGGATGCCCACTGTCATTCACTATGATTTCTTATAAAATATTATTTGGACAAACTGTAGTCCTATTTATAATGATACAAACAAGACAGCTTCTGACAATGTGCCATGTTTCTGGGTTTGATTGCCTAAACCAGTCTTCCCCCACATAAAACTTTTAAACACATTGTGTTTGTGTAGCAGCAACTCTGTTCACTTAAAAAAAACTAATATAAGAAATGGAGCATGGAACAACTACAGAATCTAAACAAATAGACTGAAAGTAGTCAATGTTGTAATCCACATCACACTAAAGAACATTCTAAACACTCTATGGCCTTTGGAAATAATTGTTTAGTGGCAGTTCACATGTCTGACTTGCTATTGTAATAGCATGTGTAGATATACAACAATTTACAAGATGTGCTTGTAACATATGAATAATTTAAAATGTTAAAAAGCAATAATAATTTTCATATACATTTAGCAATGATATGAAATAGTTTAATGGGAAAATTTATCAGGAACAATATAAGAATTGGGTATATATTACTATTAAACCAGTCGTCCTTTTTTTCAGATTGAAGCGCTCCAGGATAAAATTAAAAATTTAAGAGAAGTAAGAGGACATCTTAAAAGACGAAAACCAGATGAATGTGACTGTGGCAAAAAAAGGTATGTAAAACGTTCTCAATAACTTATGTATTATCATCTAACTTGGAAATCAACGTACATGGGAGCATGACATTGTTCTGAAGTTTATTTTTTAACTAACTATTAACTAAGCATGTAAAAAAGAAGTCATGTAGTATTATTAGAATGCTTCTAAAATTCAAGAAATTTTTACCCCAGATCCATGCTTCTTTAAAAGATGCCCACTGTGTATAGAATCAGTGTTTCTCATGATCAGATTTTAAAATATCCGACATGTTTTGCTTTAAATGAACATTTTACAGAAATTTTTTTATATTTCTTTATAGCTATTACCACAAAGAAAAGGGGGCAAAGGTTCAAGAAAAGCTTAAGACAAGTCATCTACATCCATTTAAGTGAGTCTTGTTAATTTTCAGCCTATTATCTTTCCAGCGTATATTTATGAGACCTATCTTCCAATCATCTTGTCATTCACATGCTATGGGAAGTTTGTAAAAAAAAATGTTTTGCAATGATCTGGGATTTGGAATAAGTAAATAGCTTTAACAAACTTCTTGGGTACCTTTCAATTTTTTTTGTTGTATCTTATGTTGATGGCTTAACTTTATGTTCATTTCACTGGAATTGTGATGTATCCAGTTCTTTTTACTTCAATTTTGTTCAGTTTCTAAACATACATTTTCACTTTACCTGAGTACAGTATATTCCCATCCATTTCTATTGGTGACTTAGACGCACATTAAAACTGACAAGGTTAAATATCATAATTGTATAAAATACAATGAGCCTATAATTACTCCATCTTCCTAGGACTATAGCCAAGCATCACTTGTCTTGGTTGATCAGGGTGGATATATTTAACTGACAGTCAAAGCATACAAATGATCCGTAAGCTATGTTAATGAACGATCACATCTAGCAGTTTTATTTATATAACTTAACTTTATTTAAGTTAAAGAAAAGTGGAAGGGATCCCTAAGCCATCCCACCATGGAGATCTGTCTCTCCTCAGCAAACCAGCTTGAACCAGTTCTGAAGATAGGCAGAAAACCACCATTATGTTGTGCCTCCTAATACCCCCTAAACCAGTCCAGAACAATAACATAGTTGATGGTATTAAAGGTTACTGAGAGACCAAAGAGGGTCAGAAGGACGATATCCCCCCCCCCCCCGAATAGATTTATCAAAAAGGATTACATCTCCAGTTGAATCAAATGAAAGAGCTCTTGCTTAATTCATTTTCTCCAGGGCAACTTTACTGAAATGCAACCTCCTTCTAAAAAAGGAAGATTGGAGACTGGATGAAATTGTCTGTTTCATAAGATCCAGTCATAGTTTACTGGAGTGATTAAACCACTGCAGTGGTGAAATTCAATTTTTTTTACTACTAGTTCTATGGGCGTGGCTTAGTGAGCATGGTATGGCTTGGTGGGCGTGGCTTGGTGGGCATGACAGGGGAAGGATACTGCAAAATCTCCATTCCCACCCCACTCTGGGACCAGCCAGAATCACCTAATCTCCTAACGGTTCATTCACCACTACTACAAGTCATCTCCCAGGAAGTCTTGCCCAACCAAGAGATAGATAGATACAGATGGCCTTACTTAACAGCTTCAAATAAGCTGTCCACTTTCTTTTAATTCGTTATAAATTGTTAGTACGTTTTACAGGGTCTACTTTATGTGTTCTTTTATTTAGAAAGGGGTTATTTGCTTGTATTCCAGTATTTAGGGTTAGAGCTGCTTAGGTTTTAATGTGTTTTGTTTGTATTTTTTATATATTTAAATTCAATGGATTTTATTATTATGGTTGATTGCAATCAGATGGATGTTTAGACCAGAATTTGGTATTTTTATCCATCAGGTTCTTCCCAAGGACCTGAGATAGGCAGATGTTGTTTGATAGTATTAAGGGTATCATTGCAAGATGCAGGCTGTTTTAAGTAAAGCTGCAATTGACTGATGGTGATTATATGGCAGAGTATCCCAATCATCATGTGTAAGATCTCAGAGTTCACAGCTTCTAAGAGAAAGTTTTAGAGTTAATCAGCCTAAATTTTAGAGAGGGCCATTCTAAGCATAACACCATTGTTTAAAATGCATATTAAATTATTAACTATCTGATAGATGTATAAGTAAAGAATAGGAAAATAAACAGCAGTAACCGTATTCCACCACTGACAAAGAAGACTATAAATAACAGCAGGAAGTGTTGTTTATGTCAGGTTTCTATGTATACTTAAAAGCATATAGGTTTCTGAACATGATTTTATGTCTTTATATTCTTAATGATAGAGATGAGTAGCTGAGAAGTAATATCTGTGATCCACTGTGAAATAAGCTAGTTCTTTTTGGGGGGGAGGGGAACAAAACTAAAATCACAGAGGTTAGATTAAGCAGATTAACTTCTCAAAACCTGGTGCAATCCATATATTTTGTATAATAGTTCCCATTAGCAGTAGTGAGCTTAGCCAATGCAACTGATGATGCTCTTCCAGAACTAGGGAAACTAGGGAAACTAATAATATATAATGTTTCTAGACTATAAGCTAAATTACAGTGGTCAGTTCATATGTGAAAAATCTACATGTACATAGACTTAGTTTATTGTAGCCTCAATGTTTAAAAGATGCTATTATTTAACATCTATTAAATATTCTTCAATGATTAGGGAAGCTGCTCAAGAAGTGGATGGTAAGCTTCAGCTCTTCAAAGAGAATCGGAGGAGAAAAAAAGAAAGGAAAGGGAAAAAGCGCCAGAAGAAAGGAGATGAATGCAGCCTTCCTGGACTCACTTGCTTTACTCATGACAACAATCACTGGCAGACTGCACCATTCTGGAACTGTGAGAACCACTTCCAGTAGATGCATGCTCATAGGAATAAGAATTGATGTGAGCTCTTAGGGAGTTGGAGGGCATATTTGTTCTGGATCTCATATGGAGAGGAGAGAAAAAGACAATGAGCTCATTAAAAATGGGTATGTTAATTCAAACTAGAATTACAATTACAGCTGAACTGACTAGATTTAAATTTACAGATTTCTGAGTGAAAACTGTTTCCAAGTAAATGAAACCAGAGATCTTGTGTGACCCAGTAGGAGTATAAAGAGTTGCCTGATTAAATAGAGGGACAGCAACATATATGACAGTGCTAGGAACCTAGCAGTGCCCATTATCTATTTAGAGATGTATCGGGAGGAGGTCTTGTAGGCAAACAGGACTAATCCATTGCTCAGTTCAAGAAATCTAGAGCTTGAACTCATCTAGTGGTGGGCTGTCTAGGCTCTGCTTTGAAGAACTCCCAGGAGAGAAAGTTATCCTGGTAGCTAATTCAAATTCCAAATTGGTTCTTATCACCAGTAGGTTGGTTTTCTAATATTATAAGATGGGTTGCAGAAATGTTTTTGTGCACTTGTAATATAGTTATATCTGCACTTTGTACAAGCATTGTCCACTAATATGCAATATCATTGCATGAAGCTTGTGATCTGCTTATAGAACTATCAACGGATTGTCCTTGCTCAAGTGAAGTGAATACATGCATGTTTAAATTTATTTTTCCCCTATAACAGTGGGATCATTTTGTGCTTGTACAAGCTCCAACAACAACACTTACTGGTGTTTGCGAACAGTAAATGAAACACACAACTTCCTCTTCTGTGAATTTGCTACAGGATTTTTGGAGTATTTTGATATGAATTCTGATCCCTATCAGGTAAATGTAGGTTAAAAATGATACAGTTGTGGAACACTAACTTAGTTAAGCCACTATTAATACATTTCAATTATATCCCATTTTATATCTTGATGAAACTCAAAATAATGTACACTTGTCTCCCCAAACACTTTCACATCCAAGTTTTGATCCAAGCGTAGAGTCATGAATACTTTGCAGCTTTCTTAGTACATGGCTTATGTGGCATGAGAAAAGATTACAAGTAGTGCATGATTTACAACCAGTCACTTAATGACTGTTCAAAGTTATGACAGACTTCCTGCGGGTACTTATAACCCAGTTCCAAAGTTTTGAAAGCTGTCCACCCAACTCCGGGTCATATATTTGTATGTTAGGCTCCCTGCATTTCCAGCTTTTTGCTCCCATGGTCACATAACTGCCTTTTTTGATGATTTTGCCAATAATTGGCATTTACTTCCAGTTTTTGGCAAAAGTAGCCCCTTGGTTCATGTAATGATCACTGCAAAAAAGATTGGATTGGTAATGTGGGTGACCTGATTTATGACCATCACAATTTATTATCATGAGAAGCAGGTTGCATTAGAGTTGTAAATCAAGAATTATTTGTAGATACTTGCATGTGTTTTCCAAAGGGTTTATATAACTACAAAAGAAATGTGAGAAGCAGTTATAACTTGCTGAAAGTCCACATACATAAGCATAATCATTTAAAGTTCACTCCTTTTGCAGATGCAGGCATTCATTTGTTTCTTTTCATGCCCAGCTAACAAATTCGGTACATACAGTAGAAAGAGGCATTTTGAACCAGCTACATCTTCAGCTAATGGAGCTACGAAGTTGTCAAGGTTATAAGCAGTGCAATCCAAGACCTAAGGGACTTGACACAGGTAACAACCTATGGTTTAAAAACTGGAATACTGTGTTTTGTTTCCCTTAATTATTCCAAGGAGCAGTTAAGTTGTCTGTGAAACCTCTTGCTGTGTAATAATGGATCAAATATAGATCCTGACAATGACTTTTAGATAAGGACTTAAAAGCTCAAGAAAATAATGCACTTCACTGAACATATGAATAATACATATCAAAATATTTCATTTTTCTTTATATTTCACCTTTATTGATTTTATGAATAACCCAAGGTGACAAACCAATCTAATATTTCTTTCGTCTATTTTCCCCACAACAATTACCCTGTGAGATGGGTTGGACTGACAGGCAGTGATTGGCTCAATCATCTAAGGAGTAGAAAAAGCTGCAATTTCCTTATTTACCCATATGTTTGCTCTACATATTTCTAACAGACAGGCATTTCTTTGGTCAATGTAAGTTAGGATAGATTTAAGAAATCACCCCTACCTTATACAATAATTACCCATTATCAATAAATTAGGCTAGGTTATTTTCTCCCAAAATCTATTGGGAAATTGAGATAAGAGTATGATAAGATAAAAGTATGATAAGATAAAAATAAATGACCCACAGTGGTCATGTTTTTATTATACAAATAACCATTAAGATGGTTAGATAATGAGACCTTAATGTGTGTTCCTTAACATTAGTTTAATGTTGCATATCCTCTGTATTGTCATTTAAAATATTCTCTTTAGCCGATTTAGAACTTTCTGGTGACTAGGAAATCTACCTGAGACGGGCGAAGCCTGAAACTTGCCTCTTTTTACAGATCTTAGCAACCTGAACTTGCCAATAGGAGAAAGGAATTTGAATTGGCATCAGCCTTGCACAATATCATCAACTCCTATTACAGAAGTGCATAGCTGAGTCAGCTCTCACTTCCTCCCAAAGGGGAAAGATGTCCATTCTTTTATCATCTGTAATATAATTAGAAATCATGGGTTTGTTCCTTAGAGATTTATCTCTCATTTTTTATGGTTTCATTTCTTTTACCAATAAACATTTCCCTTTTCTTTAACTTAATTACTTTTTTGTCCTATTTTAGTTATTTCAGAACATACCTTACTCAGGTATTCTTTGTTGGACTACTTCTTTACTTGATTTTAACCCCATAAAATTATTATTAGGAATTAGATGCTGTGCATGGAAAGCTACATTGTGAATGATTTTACCAAATCTAAACACTAACAAAAGTTACTCTTGTATTTTCCTATATCAGGAAATAAAGATGGAGGAAGCTATGATCCACACAGGTATCCACACTTTATTATTCTCCTCAGCAGCTTCTTTCCAAATAATTGCATGACCTGGTCCATTTCAACTAATGCCTCTACTTTGCCTGCTGCACATCACATAGCTTTTGCTGCATGCAAGCGCTAATGCTGTTCATGAAACCACTGGTGTTTACATTTTCACAAGACATTTAATATATTTACATCAAAATTTTATTTTATTTTATTCCACCTTAGGAAATTCACTCTCATCCTCATATTTAAGCAGAGGAAGGGAGAGAAGGTATAGTGCAGAAAAAATGCTCAGCCATTTATTCACCAATCCACCCCATCTGTCTTTCCATCTAGAACAGGGGTGTCAAATTCACATTATCATGGCAGCATCACATGATGTATTGGAAGTGTTTTCCCCCATTGCTAAACTGGGCGTGAGTGTGGCCAGCGTATGAAGCATCCAGCCCATGGCCCGGGAATTTGACAGCCCTGATCTAGAACATCTACATATCACTCTCTATGGGTATCAGGAATTTCCATGTGTTTAGGCAACCTGGAATGAAGAATACATTCTTGTACTGTTGTATGTATTGTAGGTCATGATGCCCTAAAGAAGGTGCTTAAATACATGTACCTTTGCACAGCAAAGCAAAATCAATTGAGCTTACATTGTATGAAATGTTCATATATTTGAATGGATACTTGTTCACTTTTTCTCCTTTAGAACTTCTTGTTTTATAAAACTGATGTCAGCTTGCAAGATGGTGACCTGGTCCATAATACACTTATGCACATTTCCCAAATAAATGCAAAAAAAGGGTTAAGTAATTCTGCACCAATAAAACTGATGTTACAAAGCTGTTGAAGTTAAGCCAATGTGGATTGGATCAGCACCCAGATGATATAGAATGCTATGAGATAATAATTAAGAAATTAATTTTCAAAGAAGAGTGACTCTTAGGATTATTGGATTGTTTTGCAGAACTTCAGTAAGAGGTTGGGCTTTGTTATATATTTAGAAAATATTTACATTGTTTCATTTTTGGGGTTTATAAGCTTCCTTCTGCTTAGTTTCTCAAGGATTGTTACTCTTTCAAACTGCTTCAAGTTGTCTCTGCTTACTGTGGCACTGGTGGCAACAATTACCAGTCTTTATACACTTCAAAGGGATGCGGTGGCTCAGTGGCTGAGACGCTGAGCTTATCAATCAGAAAGGTTGGCAGTTCGGCAGTTTGAATCCCAAGCACCACATAACGGAGTGAGCTCTGATTACTTGTCCCAGCTTCTGCCAACCTAGCAGTTTGAAAACATGTAAAAATGCAAGTAGAAAAATAGGAAGCACCTTTGGTGGGAAGGAAACAGTGTTCCGTGCGCCTTTGGCCATGACCATGGAGAAGTCTTAGACAGCGCTGGCTTTTCAGCTTTGAAACGGAGATGAGGACAATCCCCTACAGTCGGGAATGACTAACACATATGTGCTAGGGGAACCTTTACCTTTATCTTACACACTTTAAAATTGATGGCTCAATGATTACCTTCACCGAAGATCAGATTTGTCTCAGGCAAAACCAGAGGTGATTGAGGCCAGTATCAACTTGCATCCAGATCAAACTGAGCCACAGTTTTATTCAGTAAGAAACTAAAATAAACAACTTATTCACCAAAGCTTCTATGATCATTTAAAATAAAAACAATAAGTCAACTTCTTGATCAACTGAATGTCATGAATTGGGAGGTGAATGATAGAAAGGTTTAAACTACCTCGCTGATAAGGCAGGAAATATTGTTGAAAACAAAGGGATTAGCATTAAGCCACTTAAAGGTAGAATTAGCACTGAAGATTAGTTGGGGCTTGAGAAGGCTGTTTGTCTGGTGAATCTAACCTGTTTGCAACACAGAAACAAAGCATTTCTGCCTTCTACCCTGTTACCTCGTTCCTTTTCTACATGGGTTGTCTCCCCTTGTCTCTAAAGGAAGGAGCATGTATGGTCATCTGTGTGAGAGACGTATTTGTAGGGGAAATGGTTGGTATATGCAGATAGGCCTCATTTAAATTTGCAAATGGTCTACCTTCCTTTATAAGTTGCTAACTGTAATTATTTGTGATTCAATTAATATACATTCTTTTCTTTTTGGGATATGCCTTCTAGGATCTATATGTACAGGCATACCTATAAGAATACATATACGCAAGTGTGCTCCTCTTCTTGGTATAGGCACATTGTTCAGTGACCACTCAGATCTATGATGGTGCTGAATGAGGATGGAGACTCGGAGTTCCAGCCATTGTAACATCCCCCCTGGTGACCTAATTGGGATTTCTGATATTCTCTGCCAGTTTTCCACAAGCAAAATCAACAGGGAAACCAGTAGAGAATCTGAAATCATGAGCATGTGATGTCTTTGATTAATGATCCATGTAATCTTTGTTCAACAATGGCAACCTTGCCATTGCTAAGTGATGCAATCACATGATTTCATGCTTTATGACCATGTCATTTAGTGATGGAGTTCTTGTTGTCAGTTGCTGTCATAACCTGAGGAGTACCTGTATTCAGAAAAAGTCCACAATGTTGCTACACCAAATTATTGTCCTGAGTAACATAGCATTTGGGTGGGGGGGGTAATAGTCTTCAAATTGGCACTTTCTAGATTTGTCCCAATGGCACGGGGACTCCCACTATGTCTTACAATCACAGAATCCTCTGGCTTAGATTTATGGAATTCTTGATCCATCTGGAAGACACTAAGTTTGGAAACATTGCTTTGATATGGCTGAAGTTGATTTTGTTTTTAATCTTCATTTTTAAATTTTTTTTAATTATTTCTAATGTTTTCTCTAGTACTAAGTCCTTTCCTGGATTTACTTCTAAGGTCCCTCTTCTGAATTGCACCCTCCTTTCTGTAAAAATTTGCTGTTTAATTGATATCACTAATACCAAAGTGATTATGTCATATTGATTTAATCATTAGCACACAAACGTCCCTCCATCTGCCTCTACCATTCTATCCAAAAACTTTCTTTTCTATATTTCTTAAGAATATAAAATCTAAGGTCATTATCTAGCTGAGTACTTTTATCACTAGTCAGTCAGACATCTTTGGAAAGTTTAAAAAAAAAAGATTTTCAGTGTAATAACTTCTTCTGTTGCTTCTCCTTAGACCAGACATGTCCAAAGTCCGGCCTGAGGGCCAATTGCAGCCCGTTTTCAAATTTTGAATGGCCCGCAGCCTCTTCTCCCCGCCAGCTCAGTTTGTCACTCAGCGTTTTTTTCCTTCACTGCACATTAATGTCAATGGTTCAAAGAATGTCAGGCTGAATGGTCAGCCCCGCATTTTCACCTCACCAAATCTAGCGCTCTTTGCAAAAAGTTTGGATGCCTCTGCCTTAGACATTGCATACAATGGCAAAGATTAAAATTACTGATTGACCTAAAAATTATGAACTACAAATTAGTCCTATGATAAAATTGTTGCATATTATTCAATGTCAGATACCTACATTTTAATTCCAATAATTTCTGCTTCTCTCCAATTCCTCAAATATTTGGGCATGTCGAGTCTTCACTGTATAAGATTTGCTTCCTTTTTGATAGGAAAGCTATATGTTCACAGATTTTGAGATTGAAGCATGTGAAAGCTTTTCTGGATGACTCCCCTGCATAGTCCATATGTGCATCCATATTTGCAATTAGTGTCTATAATAAGTCCTCCTCAGTCTCTAGTTTAGTTGTTATTTCCACAAGCACACAAATGAATCTAGTGGTATTGGTAATGTTGCTACTGCCTGTATAAGGATATTAATCAGTTAAATGACATTTGTTTTTTCCATTTGTTGTTACATTCTAAAAAAAATCTACAAAACAAATATACTCTTTATCCCTCCTAATTACTGACTGGAGATGAAAACTTATGGAAAACAAAGTCAACTGGGCAACATGGATAGAAGATCTTGACACGTCTTATTGCCCCCACAAAAGTATTTCTTTTTATAACAATTACGAATAGGCCAGAGATAAAAGAACTCTTGGTGTCAATTATTATTCCTTGCATGAGAACTTTCCTGAAATGTTCAAATGTGTGCTTTTAGTAGAAAAATACCTGTTATGTTTCTGTCTTCACCTGTTTTCCTCCATATATATGCTAATACAGGCCCCATTATTGACAAACATTGTAGCTCAAACCATTTGAAAGATAAAAAATTAGCAAATGTGGCCATTTTTCTTTTTCTGGAGCTGGGCATCAATAACTTTTCCAGTTTTATGCAAAAAGATTGGACAAAAGTAGGTTAATATAGCTGAGAAATATTATGAAGACAAGCAAGAATTAGCTTAACATGTTATTATCTGCAATGTAAAGGTAAAACAATTTACATGCTATAGAAGTGTACAACAGAACTTAAGTGATTCTTCTATCTTCAGCATTTAATTTTAAAAAATGTTTCTGTTTTAAGCTAAAAAAAGTTAAGCTGATTTTTGCTTTGTCTCGATACATCCACATCTCCAGGAAAAAGAGAAATTTTCTATATGACTTGGTCCCTAGGTATTCTGCAGGGCCACCAGATTAAACTCATCTCAGAAGCTCCTTGTGGTGCCCCAATTTCAGGATGTGCTGTGGGGAAAAAGCATTGTTCAACACATTCACCAATTTATTTAGTTACTGCTTAGAAATTATTATTTTCTTTGCTATGAACTACAGCGTGCTTTACTTAAATATAGACATATTATATTTGAGCATATTTTTGTAAGCCCTCTTTTGCAAAGATTTGGTGACATCAAATTAGAAGTACTCTCCAATAAAAGGAGTTTCCTTATGATCCCCTGGCATTTAATTAAGCCAGGGAGAAATGAGTGTATAATGAAAGACTGTTCATACATATGCTTTGGCTATCTCGCAACTAAATGTCAATCACTATAACAGCAAGAAATCCATATGAATGTTTCTGTAATGCTTTTCTTTTTTTGGAAGAATTTCTAAAGCAAATTCACTTTCATCACATTGAATGGAACCTTCTAAGAACAAATGCAAGAAAATGTTGCTGCCTGGTATTAACCCACTCATGGCATACTTGATCTCTTTGCGTAAAATATTGATTGCATATCCCTGCCTAATATTAAAAGAGCTGGTATTTTCTCATTGCAACCAGTATACTAAAATTCTGAAAAAGAGCATGTAAGGATTTTCCTGTATTGTGCTACTCAACTGAGAAGGCAATTATTAAATACGACTGTGCTAAGATTAGATTGATATTTAATTCAAATCACTGATTTTTCAATTGGTTCTATGAATCACTTTGAATCAACAATCAAACTAGATATTCTTGAATCAATTTGGAGAATCAGATTGAAGTGCCAAATGGAACTGATTTGATTTTCTAAATTAAATTAAATTTGAACCAAAGCAATTTGAATCAGTTCCAAGCTAACTACACACGACTGATTTCCAATATTACAAGTATTACTGTTTCTTTCTTGTTTTTTAACAGAGGACACTTATGGCATGGATGGGAAGGCTAAGCTCCCAAATTTTACAGAAAGCATCAGCTGGCAAGGACTGGAAGATTTGTACAGTGTGAATGAAAGTTTATATGAAGCCAGAAACAACTACAGCATTCATTCTGATGACTGGAGAAATTACTTGAAGGATGTAGATAGAATTTTTGCACTGCTGAACAGGTACTCTAAACAAAATCAAAGAGCAGAGACTGCCACTGTTAATACGAGTGGAGACTTGGATGATTCATCCACATCATTCTCCTTGCTGGGAATGAGCTCTGCTGAAATGGAGGAAGGTTCGAGTGGGTTGACAACCCTAGAGGCTCAACCTATCATCCCAACATATTATGGAGACCTGAACTTGAGCACAGTAGTGTCAAGCAAGGATAGCAGACTTGAATTAAGCAATGATATTCCTGCAAAAAGGAGTACAAATGGTCACCAAGCCATAACATGGCTGAAGATTGAAGAGCCAGTTAATTCAGAAATGGATTTTAGTGGGAACGATTTGACAGAACTGGAATCCAGACACAGCTTCATCTTGCAACCAATCAACATTATTCAGAAAGCCTCTACGGCGGACAAAGATTTTGCACAGGGTGTTTTTGAAGAGCAAGTCTACCTTCCCATGAATTCTCCTGCAAAAATAATCAGCTGGGATTTAAATACATTTGTTCTGCAACATAAAACTAAAATGTTGAGAAAAAGGGAAGGTTTCCAGAAATCTAGTGTGTTTCTACATGAAGAAGGCAGTGCTTCAAATCCACTCCCCTCAAATTAGGCTATCAAAATTCTAGTAGTGTATATTTTACATACACATTCTTGTCAATGTGGCTGCAGCTACTAAAATCTGAGAATTAAAAGGCACCATTGTGACTTTTTTTAAGCAGAGCCCTATTTTTAAAGTAGTGTAAATGCACCTTCAAAAGAAATAAGTTCATTTTTCTGTTTTCATAACAAATATTCTTAACCCATTATTGAGTATTTTTTATTAATTTGAACCATTGAAATTTCATATTGTTAAAGTAGCAATAGCAGTTAGACTTATATACTGCTTCATAGGGCTTTCAGCCCTCACTAAGCGGTTTACAGAGTCAGCATATCGCCCCCACAGTCTGGGTCATTTCACCCACCTCGGAAGGATGGAAGGCTGAGTCGACCTTGAGCCGGTGAGATTAGAACCGCTGAACTGCAGATAACAATCAGATGAAGTGGCCTGCAGTACTGCACCCTAACCACTGCGCCACCTTGGCTCTATTGCTATATTGTTAAAGTAAATTTACATGCCCCTTTATAATCTTTGTGCCATACTTTTTATTAATCTGACTCAAATGAAATGTAATTTGCAAAACAATAAAATAAGTTGATAGAGAATACATTATGTAGATGGATTGTAAAAAGCAGTTATTGGTATATTGAGCAGATTTTCATGTTTGATTTAAAATCTTTATCTTCCAATCAATTCAGTGACTTTTTCTTAGATATAACAAACAGGAAACTTAACAGAAAATGTTTAAGTGAGTTCATTTTCCAGTAGATAGGGACTAAATTGTTAAGATGTTTGTTTTTTCAGGAAATTTGATTTCCACTTTGTAAATGGTCTTAATGCACTCACCGCTGTTCTAGTCATTTTAGAATAAAATCTAATCTGAAGAAAGGTTCTGCATACAAATATGCTATATATTATATTACATCTTGGCACACTTTTAGAAGTGCTACACATATCCCTTTTTAAACACAATCTAAGGTAAGACTGCAAATTGCATTGCCATATCTATATGTAGCCATACGGAATACCGGATTGTAGGTATACCTTTTAAACAGCAAGGTCCTGTACACAGGGAATAATGTTATGTGCAAAAGTGCTTCTACACTCTTCTCCAGAATCAAGGAAAGGAATGCTTCTCACATCAGGGAAGTTTGCATATGTTGGTTTATTAAAGTGCTTTAGAATATAGCATCTGAGCAGGAAATAAAAAGATACCGTCATCTGAAATTGTGTGAAGGTAGCTACCAGTAAATGACTTCAGAAGATAGTTCCAAAATGGGGGGGTTGGGTCCCCCCCCCGGGAGGGAGCCTAAACAAACACCCTCCCAAACCTTCAGAATAAAGATTAGTTTTAAAGTATACTAAAAGTATAAGCTCGTAAAGTATACCAATGAAATTAAAGTCCTAACATGGACAAAGATAGCTAAGTGTAGTTTATACACCAATACCATTCACTACCCCACACTTTTCCAGTAAATCCATATGCAACATCTTCTACTTTAAAACTTTTGGTTTTAAATTTCTCACCTTTCCTTTTCGAGGAATTCAACTCCAGTAATGATCTCAGCCTCCTGTTTCCTTTCAACCCATTCATTCTTCCTTCATATTTGTTTTGAAATTTAATTCTCATTACTTTTCCCTACATACAGTAGCCCAATTCCAATGTTGTTCCAGATTGTTTACTCATATTTTTGCATTCAATCCACATTCAGAATATATTAACTTTTGACCTTTTCTTTCATTCTTTTTCTTCACACACTTTGCAGTACTTAGTTCCCAATTTCAACTTAACATTAGGTTACTCCTAGCTTTCCTTATTTCCAAATAACAATGTGGAGAAAAGCATATATTGTCATATACAGCCATTTTTGGTTCTTCTGTTGTTCATTCCATAAAAAAAAGCTCCATTCATTTAATACACATTTTAACAAGGTATACAAATTAGTTTTTTTTTCTTTTTTGACATTTATATACAAACTTGCAATTGTTTGCTCCATTTTCTCTGTCTGACACAATTGTCTTGATATTTATGTATTAATTTTCAGTTGTGTGCTCCTTATATTATAGTTTATGTAACATTTACTTATTATTTGAAGGCATTTCAGTAATTTTCATGAAAAACTTTTAGTAGATTCTGTAAACATGGATATTTATCATTTACATGTCTCAAACTGAATGGCAGAACAAATTTATTTAAGAATGTGAATGATGCTATTTTTATATAGATTTTCATTAGGTTACAAACTGTTTATGTAAGAATTTTCTGCAGTACTTTTATAGAACAATTCTGGCTTCAGGAAAGTCTAGAAGCAATAATTCTTCAAATAAAAAATGTTACGTTACCTGTTTTGTAGAAATCAGTCAAGTCAAATTTTCATAAAGGTATTAAATTATTTTAATTCAATGTATTCATCTATAAACTAATAAGAAATGTTTTACTATGTAATATTTTCCAGTTACTTGATTTAAAATAACGATGCCAGAAAATAGATGGCAAAGAATTGGAGAAGATGACTTAGTATCAAAATTTGAAAATTAAAACTGAAAAATCATGGCATAAACCAGCTGTGGACAAAAATCTCATCTGTTCAATTACCAAAGGTCACACTCTTTGATTTCCACATATACTACCTGATATTTTAAAATATCCTAAGTTCTTAGAAAGAGTCAATGCATATGAAAGCCAGTATCAGCTAAAGAATTGGCAGCTGTGATTCCATACTATTGTGTATACAAGACAGTGGAATAGAAGAGGCGGGGGAATCACAAAACAAAAAAGTCCTACAAATAGAAGTAGAAAGACTAATAAAGAAAATAAAAGTAATACTAATAGTAATAGGTATATTGGTACAATTCCAAAATATATGGAGCATCACCTGAATATCAGAGGCATTGATAAAATCACTATTAGTCAATTGCAAAAGGCAGCTTTACTTGGAACAATTTTTATCCTGTGATATATATATTTAACATCATGAAACATCAGACAATCTCAGATCCTTGAGAAAGACTCGATAGTCTGATAAAAAATGCCAGTCTAAACCTCTGACTTAAAATCATAATAGATAGTTGAAGGAAAAAGGGGCAGCTTTTGAACATGAAATCAGCAGCCTAAAAGTCTTCAAGAGTTTGTTGCTGTTAAACAGTAAATTAAAATCACACTCCACTCAACAGGTATAAAATTACTGTTCATAAATGTCCATTGGACATTTACATCATCACATAATAGCTTGTAGTAATTATGATAAATATTAGTGTAGAGATGGGATTCTTAAATGATAAATATTGCCTTTGTCAACTAATACCTTTAAAAATGTGAATTTTGGAGTTAAGATAATATAAAATGAAAATAATTGCCCACATTAAAACTGGCATTAAATGTTATATTATGTAATGTTACAGATCATGAATAAATATAACTGAAAGATTAAAACACAGGCAATTTGACTCATACATAATGATGATTAGCTAATTATGAAAAACAGAGCTGAGCGGAAACAATATACTAAATGAGATAGTAGCACTGTATCCATATTTACTGCATTGATTTCTGCAGCAAAACTATTTTGGATTAGAATGGATTCTCCTACTGTCCTGCTACCCAAAAGAACACTTTAAGTTTGGAATAGTACAAGATTTGACATAAAACACAACAAAGTTAAGAAGTCATTTTTATTTCAAAATGCCAAGTACTGAAGGTTCATTTGCAAACAGCTATTTACACATATTGTCCATAAAGTTTTACATAAGCTTATACCTAAGAGTTTGAAAACTGGTCTTTGTTCCACTGAAAGATAAATATTAATTCAAATCTTCCCTAAAAAAAAGGAACAGTCCACAGATATCCATTTTGTTATTACAGATGCAATTTATAGTTTCCTGACTGACACACTTAAAAACATTTATCAAAACTAAAATTTTAACTAGTCTACCCTTTGATTAATAATACTTTCCCTCTTTCAGGTATATTTGGTTAAAACGAAATACAATATACACCATACTGCTATTTTCTTGAAATCAATGGGAAAAAATATAGCCTTGTCTATATATTAAGGGGGGAGTGTGTGAAGTATAAAAAAGTAATGATTCAAAATTGCATATTTAAGAATTTTAAGTTCAACCCTGGATTCTTTTGGAACAGTATTTTTTTAGATTCTTTAGCATACAGTGTGTTTTTAATGACACATGGTTTTGGCTAACAGTTCTGTTCTGAAAGTTAATTTTTAAAGTTCAAAAATCAAAGGACACAATTCTTTTGTCTTTGCCACCACATTCCAATACTAACCAAATGACTGAGGGAGACAATAATCTGGGAGTAATCGAGGGTCATCTATTGTACATTTTGTGTTCATTTAACAGGTACCATAGTCTGAAACACTGGTCATAACATCTGCAGAACAAAACCTTGCCTACTAAGCTGCTCCTCAGCTGCATCAAATTTTGCCTCCTAGACCTGCAAGCTACTATAGCTAAAAGTAAAACAATTAGCAACTTTGGCAAGACACCGGATAACCATGTCTTTGGCTATCGCTATGCTCTGCCAGAAAATTGCTTCCAGATTCAACAATTAAAACATTTCCAGTTGGCAAATGAGAGGCAATTCTTTCAGTTAAAATATTTAAACTAGTTCAAAGTTGTGCTGCCTCGTAAATATTTGTGGAGCAAGAGTATATTGCAAACGTACCATCAAGCTGATAGTCCTGCAAGGAAAGCACCTGAGCAGCTATTCGAAGTATTTTTCAGTCTCAGGAGGGAATTCTTTTATCCCATTAGCACCAGTTGGATCAGTTCAAAGCTGATCCATAAGATCGCTCATTTACATTAGAGGACCAATGTACATTTTCTGGTACACTAACAATACTTTAAAAAAGACTTTGGGACAACTGCACTCTCTAGGGAACTGTCCATATTATGAATACATTGCAAAAAAAAAAAAAGTCAGAACAGTACCAATGTTTAAATGACATAATGAACTGATATGTTTACTCAGAAGCTCCATTTCAAAGTTTGCCAGAATACATGGTGAGCTCAAACCTAGGCCCACTTGTTTCCTATCGCCATAGATACAGAAAGCAGGTCTGAAAAGGAGCTATACTCATATTTGCTGTAATAGGAGTAAAGCTGTCAGTGCAAGTTAAGACCTTACATCACACTAAGGTACATTCAGAGAATTTTACTTCTATTTAAGCAAACATGAGCACTGGTCCCCTTCAGGCCCATACGGTTCTCTGTGCTCCTCCCTTTTGAGTTCTCTCTTTACCTTCTCTTGGTAAACTACAACTAGCCAACAAGTTGTATAAACTGTCTACTTCCAAATTTCAAGTATGCAATCAACACTGAATGAATAATGACACTTTTGAGGCAATGGTAGGTTTGCATAAATAATCTTAGCACTATATTAATAAACATATATTAGTATTTATGGCAATCTACATCCATGTACATTATTTACACTATGAAAAAAATTAACACTTATTCTAGGATGGAACAAAGAGATAACAAAATTCTTCAGTTATGAGTTGAAGTATTACATTGGTGCATGCTCTCTAGTTTCTGTTCCAAAGCTTAAAAAATGTAATACCTAAGTTGGGGAACAGTCTGGCTAAACCTCCTATTGCTCTTTTAAGCTACTGCAGTGACATTGCTCGCAATGAAAATACATAGACATACACAGTGCTTGGAAGATGTATGTCTGAGAAGAGAGCAACTGGCCATTCAACTACTGTAGTAAGCTAACAGTATACATGTTGAATTCATGGCATCGATTTTCTTCAGAATGCAATGACACATATAGGCCTAGCTCAAATAGGCTGATGCCTTCAAGAACGTAGAACACAATCTGATAAATATAAGGAGGTGTCTCCCCACACCTCAAATTCCTCCATCACCTATTCCCTAACCTCATTTTTCAAGTCTACAGGGCCTTAGCAGTTGAGCTTTGATTGCATGCTCATTACCCATTATGAAATATTTCACTTTTTAAATTCCCTACTAATAAGCATTTCCTCTCATTGGATTACCACTCTAAAGATTATTTGAGGGGTGCAGAAGAGCTTGGGACCTGATCATATTCTCATTTCAACTTTTGGAAAGCCACGCCTCAGAAGCCCTTTTTGAATTTACCCTGAACATCAAATTGATCCAGCCTAGGGAACTGCTCTTCAATGTGTGAGTTAAGAGATCCTTTAGTCTCAGCATCAGACAACAGAATGTAACAAAATATTTTAGATTAAAAAATAGCAGTGCAATTGCATGAAACATAGCGCTTCCAAAACAGATCTGAACAAGGCCTCAGGAATACACCCCTGATTATTGCCTATGAATCTCACTCTTTTAAAGTGTATTAGCAAATCTATGCAATGGAAAGCTAACTTGTACTTTTGATTTTAGCAATATGAAAGCCTCAATGGCATTTTTCCCTTAACAGATTTTTTTAAAAAAAAGATGAAATAATTCTGGCAAGTGCAAAAAGCAGTAACTGTGGAATATTTATTCTTCTTGCCATTTGTCTATTCATAACTCCTCCTCCTCCAAGAAGAAAAAAATGGCTAACAATATGAAAAAACAGTTAAAATGTATAATTTTGAACAGACAGATGGCAGGATGGGAAATCTATAGCATCCACTTACCTTGCAAATGTTCCACTCTAGCGGATAGATCTTTTGCATTAAAAATCCCTAGTGGCAGGGTGAAAGAGTTGCACAACTGAGCATTATAGGTTGAGTTTCAGTCTCAAGTTCTCCAGATATTGGCATCTATAAACGCACACCTTTTTTTCCAGTAATGAAAAAGTGGTGATCAGATCAGGATGCCCAAGACAATTTCTATTGCTGACAAAGCTAAATAAATGTAATAGATGCCAAATGCTAAAATATAAGCAGGTCTGTACAAGCCTTTAATATGAAATGGATTGTTAAGGCCTGTAATTCTCCCTCAAGAATCAGTAGGAACCTAAGAATAGACAATTTGGCAAAGCAATCATTTTACTGTACCAGCATATGCTCAGATTGATATTTAGGGCATGATGAGGTATGTAAACAGCAATCTGGGCCATGTGTTAGAACAAATAACCATTGTACCATACCAGCAGAGGATTAGATACTAGAGTCATCTCAGTTTGCCACACTATCAAGGTTAGTTTCTGCACGCAGAGAAACAAAAGTAACCTTAAGATTTGGATTTGAACTTAATAGGAGTTCTGCAGCTGATTGTTTCTTCTTGCAAAAATATGCAAATACAAACCAATAATTATTGATCAGTTTGTTACGCTTTAAAGTTATTACAAATAGTATTGAAATCACTAATGAGTTATAAATTCTCAATTAAAATGAAAAATACACTATCATACTAAAATAAAACAAATTATCAATAACTTAACTTGTTATTGATTTGTCTTAAAATTGTTTTATCTTTTAAAATAAAATGTTTAATTGGATATTTTATTACTTCAAATTGCCCCTTTTCCAAGTCAGGTGATTGAAAATTTTGATTTAAAAATACATAGAACCAAACAAATTATCCAGTTCATGTTGCATAGCTAAGTTGTGCTTTGAAATAGAACTTAAAATAATTACTTGTTTTCTCCTAGTTCAAGAATCATGGATGCTTTATCTTCAACAGTGGCATACATTTCTATCAGAACTGATTTTCGCAGTAGGGAATCTATTAGCATTTGCCTGGAACATGCAACTTCAATAGACATACCTAAAGGACTTGCAAACCTACTTTAACATTCCAGTTCCTAAAAAGAAGAAAGGCCCATCTCTAAGTTGTTTGGAGGTAACCAGCTCTCAGATATGCCATGGCTCTATGCATTAAGCTGTTCTGGTTTATTATCAGTGGCAGATCTTATTAGGAAAAAGAAGGCACAGGCGTTTTAAAAGGCCCCATACTTAATATGTACAAATAAATAATAATCTGAAGTTACTGCAAGGGCCCCTCTATTTCAGAAGTGACTTCTTGTGAAGCCTTCTCAACTGATGTAGTTATTGCTTCTATTGTAGGGGGGCCAGGATAGGTTTGTGCTGTGTAATGCATTGTTGTTGTTAGATTGACATCATTACCATGGTCACCTTGAGAGCTAAAAGTGGGACAGGATCTAGTCCTTGCATAGTTTTGCTGAGCAACTTTGTTATACACAACTTCACTCACAGTGCTAACAGGAGCATCTTCCCACATCTGCCTTTGCTGCTTCTTTTCTTTATACTTAATGGTGTACCAAGCAAGGAAAATGAATAGGAAGCCAACAAATTTGAGACCGGCTGCCAGACCAAAGTACACAAAACGAAATGACGTCACATCATATTCCCAACAAGAGCCTTGAACGCCACATTCCTGTTGCCACAGCATGCAGGTAGTATCAATGACGGCACCAAAATAAATTGGGGTAGGAATGTATGCTGTAATAAATAGGAAAAGTGTTGTCAATCAACTTCTATATCAAATGAGACAGTTATTGGGAATTTTTTTGACAAAGTACAGAGTAAAGCTAAACCTATTAATATTTCTCTTTTTAAGCAGTTTTGGCTAGGATATACATCACATAACATACAAACAGAATGAGACAAAATTCTTGTAAGATATTTATAAATGACTTGGTTTTGAAGTGATGAAGAGAATACCTAAATTTTAACTCTTTACAATAGCACATTTTTATTTATTTTGAATTATAGCCAATGGAGTGCTAGATATGTCTCATACTGGTTCGTGACAGACAATTGTTGAATTTTTAAGAATTCTGCGAACTAGTTAAGAGAAGACCCAAGATGCTTGTGTGCTGATCAACTGTTTGGAGACTCACTGAGTCATGCAGCAGAGCAATGGAGTCAGCAAAGCTAGCTGATAATACATTTATCACCACACCATTAGACATATCCTATATAAATCTCAATCCAATAATATCACTCTTCAAATATTAGAATTTCAAATGTTGAAATAACTGTAAAGCATTAAAATATTAATAATATATTGTAAGTCAACTTTAATACAATTATTTAAAGTTTCAGAGAATATCAAGGTAAACTGGTTGGTCATATTCCATAAATCCAGAACAAGGCCCTACTTCAGGTTACTGGAAGTTTATTCCAACAACAGCTACTAAATAACCTCAGCACTTAGTAGCTGTACTTGATTTTATAGTGAGTACTATAGCTAGTATTCTCACCAACCTTGTGCCTGACCTCGTCCCTGTTTCTTTTACAGAATCATATATTCAATTTTAGCTAACAATAGTGTTTGGTGTATAGAATCTGTTATAAAAATCAGGTTTAAAGTTAAGAAAAATATTAACAACATGTAACAATTCATAGTTACCCTAAAATGAAAGTAAACATTTATGGAGTTCTCCCCTTTCTTACAGTAGAGAAATATGGGAGGGGGGATGGTAATGTAGGCTTAATCCATATCAGCAAGAGTGGATAACTGATATATCCACCCCAGCCACTGTAGAAGTGCAAGGTTGTGTGTATGAATTTAAAAAAACTGAAAAAACTGAGAAAGATGGCACCAATTAAGAGGACCTCTTTTAATTTAATTTAATTAAGACTCCATCAAAAGTGTCAGATCATAGGCAGGGAAACCTTTTTTAAAAAGTGCTCTTTTCAGCTACCTTGACAATTCCTCTACCAATTCACATAATATTTCATGATAGTCAATGTAACCAACTGTGAGGCACTAGATCTGCCTCTGCACTTACCAAGAGTTCTTAACAAAACAAATTGCATGCCAAGGGCAAAAGGCCTCTCACCCTTTTCCACAGACCTACAAAAAGATACAATATATTTTAAAGTTTTGAACGGGGAAAATGGTAGGAATGATACTTAACTGTTACTTGATATAACTCTTCTCCTTAGCCATGTCCCAGGAGAGTGAACCAATGCCAACCATGCAGGAGCCCAGAGTTCAGTAGAATCACAAGTTCAGAGAAACAAAAACTTTATCCAGAAAGCAAAGTGAGAAATTTCCCCTACATTTCTGATGACAAGTAGATTCAATCAAATCTAGATTGACAAGTAGATTTATTTTCTAAGAAAATTGTCTTCCCATTCTCCTTAGCATCCTGCAACCTACCCAATAACAAATACCCCCTCAGACACAATTACCCTCTCTGACTTCTACAATTATAAATTATATTGATTCATATATTAATTATGTATCAACAATGAAATGAAGAGTGAAATCAAACTTTGTAAATCCATCTATCTCTAGAAGTAACGTAATTCATCATCAGAAAAGTAAAGGTGAATTATGTTTTGTGGGAGATGGCAGAGAAACTCAATTATAATAAAGCATGCTATGCTAGTAGAGAGAAATGATCCAGGCAACTTCTCACCTGAGAGTAACTATGATTGCTGATGGTTGGGCACATGCTGTGATAAGTGTTACTATGAAGAGAAAAATGAGGAAAGGGATGAGTGTGTTGCAGGTTCTATCACACTTTCCTGATACAGCATAGCCGTTTTCATTGAGATATGTTTTGACGATCACCACTCTTAGTTGGCTACGCTGTCCAACTGTGGGCGGTGTGATAACTTGTCGGCTTTGGACACAGGCACAATCTGTGTAATTTCTTATCTGTAAAAAGATTTAAAAAGTGTAAAACAATCATGATTCCTTATTTGTATTTTTATCAAGAATGCCTGCATCTGGTACATGTGCTTCATCTTATTTATGACTCGAAATAATGCACAATACAATCGGGACACTTACAGCAGATAAGAAATGCTCTTCATCTGAAGGCAAAATATTTTATACAGAAAAAATTGTAACAGTATTTAAAATATCTGAATTGAGTGTTTTAAAAGGAAGATTTAAGGAAGGTCTTCCTGGTCTAAAGTTATAGTGTTTTAGTTTTCTGTTCTGTTTTGCAAATAGCAAGCTTAATACCGTACTTAATTAATAAAATGCAAAATTTTATAAATTGTTAATTATCCAGTCTTGAGGAAGTTCACAGAAAGAAGGAAAATGCATACATGAAAGGAAAACACAGTATCAAAATTCTATGTCTAAGAGTCCTGGATTGGCTTTAGGCTAAGGCCAAATAGGTAAAAACAAGGGCATCAAAGGTTAGGGGCCACCAACACTTCCCCTCCTTCTGAATCATGGTAAAAATACAAATCTTTGCATTAGTGGGGAGGTGGAATTCGCTAGGGGTTGCATCATCTGTCAATGTGGCCTGGGGGGTCCGAATCCACACAGTGAAATGCTTAGACAAATAATTAGGCTTTAAATGATTATAAAGAGCAAGAAGGAACAGGGCAAAAACAAACATAAAGTTTTCTACAGAATGGGCAACTTCCAAGATGATTTGTGCTCCTTTTACTTCATAAAGAATAAGGATCCTCCATAACTATAAAGTTACAGAAAACCTGATGAAATATTTCCATTCCTTCTAATGGAAAAATTGTTGGTTTTAATAATTTAATTAGAAAATTTTCTGACTCTAGCAGATAATCTGATGAACATGCTGATCATAGTAGCCTTCATATTGCCAGAATTTATTAAATTTATTTGCCACCCATCTTGTTTCAAAGTGACTCTGGCCGGCTTACAGGATTAAAAGCATTCAAACTGTAAGATAAATATTTATAAGATGATAAAAATGGAGTTACAATCAAAAGTAAAATTATAGTTAAGACATGGGGAGAAAGGGAGAAGGAGGAGTAGGGGGTGGGTGGGTGAGATAGGATTGTCTCTTAATTCATCAACCATTTGCAGTGTGATGCTCACCTGTTGGGGCCCCAACCCATCTGGCAGAGCCAGGTCAAGCCCTTATGGAAGATCAGAAGGAGGGAGCCTATCTCACCTCCCAGGGTAGGATGTTCCAAAGGACAAGAGCCATGGCAGAGAAAGCCCTTCTATTGAACTCCGCAAGCTGAAATTCCTTGATTGACAGGGCCCACAGCATGCCTGCTCTGCTAGTGCAGGACTGAAATTGCCATTTCATTGAACTATGCAAAAATAATCTCCACAAACAGATATCTTTATCACAGTTGAGGAGAAGAGTCAGGGTCTTATTTTCTTTTGACACATGAAATAAGTGCTTGGCCTTATTTTCAGGGAGATCTTATTATTTTTGAGGTGCAGGAGGCAGCGAGCGTGGTCACCTCATGGCTGTTACAGTGTTGCAATTTTTCAGGGAGGGCTTATTTTCAGGGGAGGGCTTATTTTAGCGCATGCACTCAAAAGCCCAATTGGGCTTATTATCCGGGGAGGACTTATTTTCAGGGAAACAGGGTAAATAAATAAATAAAAACATTTAACAGCGGCAAATCACTATTGTATAACAATATTTTTGCTACCCCCACATATATAAATGTTTCATGTTTGCTGCCTAAGACTTTTTTATATGCAAAATAGGCATTTTACTACAATGATATTGCCCAGACTATTAAGAAAACTGCTTTGTGATGTACAATACTGAAAATTGAAGTTATCTTTGGTGCATAGGTTGCTTTTCTAACAGCAACAAAAGTTACCACTTTGATTGCTTGTAGGCATACTCACTCCTGTGCTGTAATTTCCACTGCTAATGCAACCAGCAAGACAAGGGTTAAAATATGTGATCCCATCTGATCCACACACAGGTTTGTATTCATGAATTTTGCAGCCACAATTAACATTACAGCTTCCAGTCAGATTCCTATGTGCCATGGTGAGAGTAGGTCTAAAAAAAAAAGATAGGGAGACGCATTATAATCTATTCATTGCAAAAGATACATTGATGCCAACAAATACAAACTCTAAGAATTATATTTTCAAAATCATATACTTATAATAAAAGATACAAATCAAGCTTTAATTTTAGGAAGACAAATCCACATATGACGTGATACTAATAAAACACCAGCGTTTCTTGCACTAAGTCCCCAAACCATCATTTCCGCAGCTCCTAGAATTCTGTCTAACCACATTATATATTTTAGTTTTCTAACATTGTAAAGTAGGAAATATATAAAAACGATGATGTTAGTCTAGATAGCTTAAGCAATCCTTTTAAAAGGGAATCAGTCTGGTAGGATGGTGAAACCCTCACTCACCTCAGTTGTTATTGTGGAAAAATAGGAGAAGGGAGTATTAATATGTTTGTCACCTTGAGTTGTATATGAAAAATAGGATAGGATAAATTTTAAAACTGAGTGGGGGGGAGCACCCCAATCCTTTTTTAAAAAAAAAATTCTGGCTCCTTCTATATGTATATGATGCATCCTAATCACTTGAATGCTTTGTTTTAGCCATTATAGCCCTGTCCTTTCCCTAACCATTAAATGCAGCCTTGATCACCATGATTTAACAGCCCTACACTAAATTCACAGGGAGACAAAGGTAAACTCTAGACATCTTGTCTGCTGCTTATTGGAAGATTTCTATCATGCTTTTACATTTTGTTTTGTTACATTATATGAAGACTGGTATTTTATGCAAAAATATTTAATGGATTACTTTACATCTACAACTTGATGCCTCCATTCTTTTGAATTGTAATTCCCATCAGCTCCAGCTGGCACAACCCCAGCACAATTGAATAACTAGTTGGGGAAGGTTACGAGTATGACAAAACTTTTCTAAACACACTGCATGTTTCAGAATTCCTGAGATTCTGTATTTTTCTTTAATTAGCTGAAAACTCAGTATTTCCAGCTAAATGACACCAAAGGTCATGAATACTAAGAATCATTACCAAAACTCCCACAAAGCACAGAAAAAACTGACTGGAATTCCATACTTTATTCTACAGATGTTTGATTTTTTTTAAGCATTTTACAATTATTTTGATATGAACCTCCAAATAATTTATGTTGTACTAAATTTGGTATATTACTCCTATTAAATAATTGATAGCACTGATCACAGTATTCTTTTGAACAGATTCATTGAGTTGGCAGTGGAAGGCATGACCTTGTGTGGTTCTTTTCTTCATGGGCAGTTCTAGTCAGTGTTGTGGTAGGGAGTGAAGGAGAGAGAAGAGAGGTTCCTAGCCTTAAATCTATTTTTTAGAATTCCACAGGACAAAATGAAAGCTAACTGGAAAGAACGAGTAACAAGAAATAACTCTTAATGAACAAAATCAAGTATACATCTACTTTTTCAGTTTACTATTCTAACAAGGAACTTCAAAAGGACTCAAACAACAGTAGTTTGTTCTCTGTTTCATACGTATCTAGCAGTTAAGAGGCATAGAAAATGAAGGCTTCACTGAGATGCCCTGGCCTATAGATTTCCTATTCTCTTGTTTAGCTCTGTAAACCTGTAATGCTACCACTAAGTTAAAAGTAAATACAAAATGTGTTTCATTCCCTGGATTATTCTGCACTGGATTATTCTGCACAATTTCTACTTCTATAATAGCAATCCTGATATACAGCAGAAATTGGGAACCTGTGTCTCTCCAGATTTTGCTGTACTACAAATCCCATCTCACTATTGTCTATTTTCCCTCTTGGCCACAGATTTTCCACCCATGTGACATAATGACCAAACTATACACAATATTTAAAGTTTAATGCTAATTCACTAGGAAATATCCCATTAACTGTTCTCATATTAATTTGAGCTAACTATAATCATCAGTAAAGTTTTACTAGTATCTATGAGAAATCAGGGAAACTTTTGCCATACTATGCAATTGCTTTGAACATACAATGTAAAATCTCATTTGCCATGTCACCTCCAATTCATTCTATTTGAAGATACCAAATATAAAACCAACATAAGTAGCATTATAATTGGCAACCAAGGAACAAGGATCCTAAATAGTTACATGCTAACTTGGTAGGTAATAGGAATAAATAAATATGATAAATATGTCAATATTGTATATGATAAAAGATATGGATTAACAAATTTAAAAATTTTAAGAAAGAACATAAAATGATTTCATCAAACTAAATGAGGATGGTTTGATATTGTTGAATCGAGTATAATACTCCAAAATTCTTGCACAGAATTGGAAGTATGGATTTAATTATGAGTGGAAAAATTAAAATTTACATCAAGGCATGAATTATGGATGCATGTGAAAGTAGGAATTGATGAAAAAAATGTGTTCTGCTCTAACAAATGGTAACAATAAAAGAACCAGAGATGAATTTGGGGAGGGTGAGATATGCAATAATATGATCCAGAGGAAAATATTATTCTGTTAGGTGACATAAAGAATGGCTAGGAACAAGATGAATAGAGAAAAACATGATTCAAAGTCTCAAGAATTGATGAGAATCGCAACTGTTTTGGTGACTTTTAGAAAATAACTGGTCAGTTTCAAATATATAATTGAAGCATTACTTTATTCATACATAGACAGAAAAAGAATGGACTCAAAGCATTATTGGTTTATTATTAAAAAGACCATTGGCTTACCTGAATGGTCGTTCTCGAGGCGCTGCGGAGTGTCCAAGCTCGGGTTTAACTTCAGCTTGCTGCCCAAGGACTGAGTTTGATTTTTTTGTGTTGTAGCTCCGCCTCCTGGTTCCTCCAGAGGCTCAGTTTTAAAAAATGAAGGAAATCAATAGTCCATGACTGAACTAGTCCAAGTCCAAGTCCAAGACATGAAGGTGCAATTCACACACCTCGCGGCCCCACCTTAAGGGTGGGTTTGGACACTCCGCAGCGCCTCGAGAACGACCATTCAGGTAAGCCAATGGTCTTTCTCCTAGGCGCTGCTTGGAGTGTTCAAGCTCGGGACATGCCAAAGCTATGTCGAAGTTGGGAGGGAAGAAGAAATGTCTGGGGCCGCGGTGCTTGCCACAACCCTCTGTAGAACTCTCCTCCCAAAGGACGCCTCAGCGGAGGCGAAAGTGTCCAGTCTATAGTTGCGTATAAATGGAGACGGACCAGACCACGTCGCCGCACGGCAATTTCTTCAATTGGCGCTTGC